CCCAGGTTGCAGGGTGCCTCCCTGGTTGGGGTGTGTTCGGGAGGCAAGTGATTGATATTTCTTTCTCACTCTCTTCCTTTCTCTCTCTAAAGTCAATAAAAATATATTAAAAATTATCAAAGTGTGTGTATACATATATATACACATATATATGCATACACATATACAGATACATATACACATAAACATTAGAAATCACTACAAAATGTTAATACTAGTTATTTTAGTAGGTTTATAATGAATACAATGGTGATTGAGAAGCCTTAGTATCATGAAATTTATTCTAACTAGGAGGGACTAATTATATATATGTTTAATTTGAAGAAAAAATACATACTGGTGGACTTTCAGGTTCACAGTTTGGAAATTGTCACTCATGTGTTGCTTTCTTTTTTTTTTTTTTTTAATATATTTTATTGATTTTTTACAGAGAGGAAGGGAGAGAGACAGAGAGCTAGAAACGTCGATGAGAGAGAAACATCGACCGCTTTCTTTTTAATCCTCACTGGAGGATTTTATATTTTTTATTTATTTGAGAAAGCGAGTGAGAGATTCATGGGTGGCCTCTTCTACATGTCCCAACTGGGGACCGACCCTGCAACCCAGATGTGGGCCTGAATGGGAATCCAACCACAGACCTTCCTTTGCATGGGAGGACGCTCCAACCAACTGAGCCACATCAGCCAGGGCTGTCACGAATGTCTTTCTTTATAAGGAAAGGGCTGAACTGAAAATCAATGACTTTAATGACTTTTCTTGGAGCCATCAGAGAAATTAGGTTGTGGAAAAACGGTCACTTCAGAAGCTGGAGAGACAGAACACAGAGAACAGATTAGATTACCCACCTTATCCGAACATGCTGCTGGAGACATAAACTGGTAGGACAGCGGAAGTGTTAACTTTGTAAATTGCTAGGTCTGTGTGCTAAAATCTCCTAGACCAGAGGCAATAGCCTTAACTTCCAGGCCCCCACTAGGTGTTCTTTATAAGGAGTCAAGAAGAAAAGAAACACTTTTGCTTCTGGCAGGGGGAAGGGAAAAGTAGCTCTTCTGAAATATGCCCAGTGTTCTCCAGAACAAAGGCCTATACAGCAGGGCGGAATACTTTACCCGAGCCTTATCTGACTGGGGGAAGGGAAATTACCCATATCCAGCCCAGTCTAATTTTCCTTGCTTACCCAAGGGGGGGGGGGGGGAATGCTGAGAAACATTGTGTGAAAGTCACAGCCAGGGACACAGGCCCCCTGAAAGACAGATCTAACCATAGGATTATAGAACTCCCCCCCACCCCCCAATCCCTTACCACGTCAACAGGGCTAAAGTGTGATAACAGTGAGTTACAGATAAAGGAGAAGCAAGATGCAGATTCGATTGAAGGAGTTTTTAGGGAATCATAAAGACAGGAGAGACAAAAAGGGAATCAAAGCCTCTGACACCTATAGCTACAGGAACCATGAAGGCACAGACCAACAGAAAACCCATACCGAACACCTACTTATCTCAGTTCCTTTATCCGATACATGATGCCTGGCTTTCAACAAAAATTTACAAGACATTCTAAGCTTTACAGTAAAAAAAGTATGAAGAGGCAAAGCAAGCATCAAAACCAGATTTAGATATGGCACAGATTTGGAATTAAAATAACTATGATTACTGTTAAAGGCTCTAATGGACAAAGTAGATAACACGCAGATGGGTAATGGAAGCAGAGAGATGAAAACACTAAGAAAGAATAAATAAGAAATGCAAGAAATAAAACACAAACGTTGTAATAGAAATGAAGACTGCCTTTGTCGGGATCATTAATAAACTAGACACAATCAAAAAAAGAACCCGTGATTTCAATAGATGTCAATAGAAACTTCTGTGGACAAAAGGGGCCACATGCTGACCTGACCAGCTCAGGGGAGGCCTGCGTGCGGTCTTGCAAACTCAGAGACCTACAGTAACCACAAAGGATGGTCTGGAATTAAACTTTAACTAAAGGCAGTTGTGGTGGGCAATTAGTATCTTCAATGACAAGGTCAACCTTTATCATAACTGAGCCTGTCTTTTTGCATCTATGATAACATACTTGTAACTTCCCCTTTTCTGGAGCCCCTAGCGCACAACCAAGTGTGGTAGGCGCCAGGACAGATACCACGAAGTCCTCCATTATCATGTTAATTGTTCCTGCACCCACCTAAGTATGTGCCCATCATTTCACTTTTTATCTAATCCTAGGGGTCCCCCGCCATTCCCCCCCCTTGCTTTGCTTTATCTAACCTTACTCTATCACCAATAAATTTCATGTAACTCACCTAAGTCCCTCCTTTGATTGCAAATGTAACACACAATTCTCCGGAGTATTATTCAATCTAGTGAGATTCTGCTTCCCGGCAATTGTGGACAGTTTGGCTCAAATAAACTCACAACAAATTCTTCAAAGGTTTGAACGTTTCTTACCATGACATACATAAGCACAGCAAGGATGAAGGGTCTGGTACAGATGGTCACTAGGGTGGAAAAGTTAAGGTGGTGATTTATTCCAAGTTGACCAAGTTCCTAGAATTAGGTGGTAGGTCCCCAAGTCTCAAAATGGTTCTAAGAATCCACCTTGAATCATTGTTTTCCAACTGGTGGTTAAGAAGAGACACACACAAACTGGAAGTTGGCTAATACAACCAAGAAAGCGAACTCACCTGATAGGGCCATAAGTATTTCCCAGATGAAGGAAACATACATTCAGCCTATTTTTTTTTTTTTGGGGGGGGGCAATATAAATGCAGAAATACTAAATGCAGTTGCAATAGGCAGAGTTAGATTCCCTTAATAAATACTCTTTTACTAATTAATATGATAAAGGGGAATAACTTGCTAGTACTGAAAACTACAAACAGATCAATAGACATTTAATACATTTGGCCTTAGAAACTAACCAGTTACAAAAGTAATGTACCATATAAACATATTTTTATTGATTTCAGAGACGAAGGAAGAGGGATAGAAATACCGATGATGTCACAGAATCATTGATTGGCTGCCTCATGCACAGCCCCTCACTGGGGACCAAGCCTATAACCCGGGCATATGCCCTTAACCAGAATTGAACCTGGACCCTTCAGTCTGCAGGTCAATGCTCTATCCACTTATCCAAACCAGCTAAGGCAGTATTGTACCATATTTTATTTATTTAATTTTAAAAAATATATTTTATTGGTTTTTATAGAGAGGAAGGGAGAGAGAAAGCTAGAAACGTTGATAAGAGAGAAACATCGACCAGCTGCCTCTTGCACACCCTCCACCGGGGATGTGCCCGCAACCAACGCACATGCCACTGACCGGAATCGAACCTGAGACCTTTCAGTCCACAGACCGACGCTCTACCACTGAGTCAAACCGGTTTCAGCAATGTACTATATTTTAAATCCCCTTTTAATTTCTGCAGTGTGACAAGAGGTCAGTAAAGTATAACTGAAAAAGCTCTCAGTCTCATTTCCACTGCCAGATTTGGGACAAATGTCATTCTCCTCCCCCCCTCCCCCAATTCTGAGATATTCCTGATAAGAGTTGCTTTTCATCCTTCTTTTCCACTCCACAGAGTGGAAGACAAGTGAATGGTGCTACTATATGACCTTGAATCCAGTCTTCTCTACAACTTGAGATTCTGTATTATTTTCATGATACTCACACCCAATAATAACACAGCTTTATGTCAGCACCATTTCTGAGGATCCTTCATTAGTTCCTTGTCTTCAGTCAGAGCCAAGATTCTCATTTGCACTCAATTTCAGATATTATTAATATAACCAGTAGAAAGGAGTTTTAAAAATATTTATTATATTTGGTTCTAGAAATTATAGAAAATAAAAACTGGTACAATTATGTCACACATTTAGAAAGCATATTTATCTTTTCACACCAGACAAGAGTTATGCAATGCCAGAAATGGAAATACCTAGGCAGTCAGTGACAAAGGTTAATGCTGCTGAGAGGAGCCCTTGTGAATTTTTAAAGTTTTCTTCTCTGCTGTCATTTATTTTGGGCAAATACTAGTCCAGCGGAAAGAGTTCTGAACATAAAAGGCACCTAGAGTAAAAATTAGACCTTGACTAAAATAGGGCACATGTTTACATTAAGAAAAAAGGTCCTATGAATGCAACTCTTCTGAAAGACAGTGATAATATAAATGCAAAAGCCATTGTAACTAAAAACAATTACCTGAACCTTATACATAAGCTAGATAATGGCAATCACTTTTGTGTCCATAAATCCAAAGATGCTTCATCATCACTTAAATAAGCATGAGTACTATGTTTATTTTCATAGGGCAGAGGTGTTGTAATTGTTTACCCATCAAGATTTGTTTGGTTGCATTTTTCTCTTAAAATGCATTATTGTGTACTCATTTCAGAGATGTTAAAAATTCCCATTGTCCAAAAAATGTTAGCAAAACCTGCCCTGGTTGGTGTGGCTCAGTTGTTTGGAGTGTTGTCCAGTGCACCAAAAGGTCATGGGTTCGATTTCCGGTCTGGGCACATACTCAGGTTTTGGGTTTGATCCCTGGTCGAGGTGAACATGGGAAGGCAACCAATTGATGTTTCTCTCTCTCTCTCTCTCATCGATGATGTTTTTCTCTCTGTCTTCCTTCCACTCTCTATAAAATCATTAAAAGACATCATTTGGGTGATGATTAAAAAAAAAAGGAGCAAAAGCTAAAACTGCCACTTTAAACTGAAGTCCTTTTTAATTATTATAAAGCCAGCGAAGCCAGTATATTTTACTATGACTGAAGCACCTGAAACCCACTGTAACCCATTTATATTCTCTAAACTAGACTAAGGATCCTCAGGATTTGTATATGTGTATAAATATTGCAAATTAAGCTAATAAAAACTTGAAAAAATACAAATAATCTTTTGCTACAAAGATCCAAAACCCACTCTAAGTCTGTACTAAGAGAAAGACGAACAGGAGGCTAGCAAACACTTGTCTGCATTTTCTGATCTGGGGACAAGGGGCTCAGCGGAGCCAGGTAGTATTCAGCTGGGTCTGGTTCTTGATGCTGGTGTCCATTTTTAGCACTTCACGAATGGCCATGGTAGCGTAGGTGGAGGGAGGAAGAGAAAAATCCATCTTCAGAGCTCTGTATTTGCCTTCTGCCAGGCAAGAAAGAAGAGAATACTCAGAAAAGTAAGGCAGTTGCAGACTGACTGGGGCAAGTCATATAATCTCTACACAAATGAAAGTATTGTGCTCTTGTCCCCAGGGTTCCATTCCCAGGGGGCCTCAGAGAACAAGCCTCAGAAGTAAAAGACCTGTGAGTGTCTGACCCAGTTGACTCTCTCCATGTATTCTACCTGGAACTGTCATAAAAAGGGCAAATGACAGAATAGCACAGGAGAGAAATGCATGTAAAATAAATTTTAAAAAAAGCCAATAAAACAATCAGAGCACAGGGTGAAGACAGACAAAGCAATGGCAACCAGAATCTGACAATGACAATGTAAATTTAATGTTTTAGATATTCTTCCTAGATTTTTGCTCACCTTTGCTAACCCTTTCTGGGGGTATAGAGGAAATATTCAACCACCTAAAACGAATACCTTCTATAACTGTTATACATTTTCAGTGGGATTTACTGTCTTAATCACTGACTTCTAGCTATAATTATGAAACTGATAAAACACAAAATAGAAATTACAGAGTGAATGGGAAGTGGTGGTATTATAAGAGCTTTAAAAAAAAATTTTTGTATGAGAAATACAGGGTGTGTCCCCCCAAAATGTAAAGCACAAATAGTTAACAGCTCAATTTTGAAAATGAAATTTATTTTCAATTATAATCACTGCCTTTCTCATTATTCAAACGGTGTACGGTATATATTTTTTGGCGACACCCTATATTTCAAAGTTGACACAGACCTGATGGTTAAGTAAACTTACCAGAAGCAAAAACTGGTGGTGGTTTCCCTTCTAGATTGTCCACATCTGTGTTGAAGAGTGGAATTTTAGGGTCATCGTATGCAACAACTTCCCTTTAAAACATATGAATAAAAAAGGATCAACGTGAATTTCCATAAAAGGTATCAAGTCATTCAACACCATTTGTTTAGTAAGGAAAACACAGGTCTATTATAGGCAATAGTGGAACTATTTAATAACAAAACAGGGCTAGATTTTATGCATAAATACTACTTTTATATTATTATATAGCAAGGTTACAGATGATGCCAGCCTATGGAAAAGAAAATGTTTACCCAGAATGAAAAATCTTTAATAGGGAAGAAGTTCATTCTCTGAACAGTTTTCAATAATTTGTCAATAAGATATAAATGAAGTCACTTTCACTGTATGTTTGCCTTCATTTATTTCTCGATGATTTAAAAATTATCAAAAATAGCAGAAATAGTATTAGTTATGACAACAACTAACACTTACATGCCAGGTTTGTTTTGTAAAAAATATTTTTAATGATTTCAGAGAGAGGAAGGGAGAAGAGATAGAAACATCAATGATGAGAGAGAATCATTAATCAGCTGCCTCCAGCACAACCCTACTGGGGATAGAGCCTGCAACTCAGGCATGTGTCCTTGACTGGGATTGAACCTGGGACCCCTCAGTCCACAGGCCTACACTCTACTCATTGAACCAAACCAGATAGGACCATGCCAGGTTTTACACACTGAAAAACATATATGTAGTGTGAAAGTTTAAAATCTCACATAGTAATTCAGTTCTATTTCATTCTGGACTATTACTCACCAGCTGACGTTCTGAGGACGAATAATGATCTTTCGGTAGGCCCCTGATAGAGAATAATCTCGGATTTTGTGTCTCATGTTGTCGATATCAAGATTATCTGCTGTGAGCATTTCCCTGTAGGCATCACTAACTAACATAAAATACAAGTTAGTGGGTATGTACCATGTCAGCAAGCTACCGTGCACTAGACTACAGAGTAACATGTAAATTCAGTTGGTTCACCCTAATACAATTAATCACACTAATATATGATCCAGTCTATTCTCTGGAATCAAAACTTAGTGACTCACTAAATAGGACCAAGCCTCTCCAGGTTAGGTTTGAACCTACTTATAAGTTACCTTTGCAAACAACTTCAGTATCTGGGGAGTAAGGTTCCCAAGCCAGTCACAAAAGGCCATTTCATCATAAGTTCCTAAAGTTCAATTTACACATGCTCCGAGATGGAAGAGAACATATATAGAAGCCTCCAACTCTTCTGGCAGAAGGCAGTTATAAATAAAAGTATAGGAATCAGAGACCTGAGAAAACCATCTGGCACACCCGGGCACCTGGCGTAGCATCATTCCCATCACACCGAGAGAGCTGCCGCAGCCCTGTTGCCGTGTGAGGTATGCAATTATTAAAAAGTCTTCCTGCCGAAACCGGTTTGGCTCAGTGTTGAGCGTTGGTCTGTGGACTGAAGGGTCCCAGGTTCGATTCCGGTCAAGGGCATGTACATTGGTTGCGGGCACATCCCTGGTGGGGGGTGTGCAGGAGGCAGCTGGTCGATGTTTCTCTCATTGACGTTTCTAGCTCTCTATCTCTCTCCCTTCCTCTCTGTAAAAAAAAAAAAAAAAAAAAAAAAAAAAAAAAAAAAAAAAAGTCTTCTTGCTCCAAGCTGAAATCTGTCTTCTTGTAATTTCTGTTGGCTGCTTTGAAACAAGCAGATGAACAGTTCACTTCCACATGTATTCATGAGTACTGGGCCTTGAAGCCATACCTTCTCTAGGCCAAACATCAGTTCTCCCAATTTGACATTTTTGCATTCTGCACCAAATCCCTTTATCTGCCTCTGGGGTAACAAGCTTAAGTTCAACAGTAACTCCAGATACTTTTTTAAAAATTGAATTTATTGGGGTGACACTGGTTTACAAAACCATATAGGTTTCAAGTCTAAAACTCAATAAAACATCGTCTGCCCACTGTATTAGGAACCCATTGCCCCAAGCAGTCCTTCTAAGTCTCCATTTTCCCTTCCTTTGAACCCTCTCTACTCCCTACCCCCCGCAGCCCATTCCCTCTGGTTACCACCACACAGTTGTCTGCATCTATGTGTTATATACATATATGTATGTGGTTTTTTCTTAATCCCTTAATTTTCTCTCATCCAGTCCAACTCCAGATACTTTTTATGTAGACTACTATTAAACTGAGCCTTTCCTATCTATGTATTTGATCTTGGAGCATAAATGTGAGAATTTATATTTAACCCTATTAAATGACCCCTGTAGTTCTTTTTAAATGCTTATTTACATATAATTAATATTAACTATTTTGGGTTATACTACTTGCACATATGATAAGCAGATGTCCTTATTCAAGTTATTTATAAAAAATGTTAGGATCAAGGAAAGACTTGCTATCAGGACAACTCAGGGTTGCTGGGCCCCAAGTGTAGTAGGCAGTTAGGTGTGACCAGGGCAAGGATGATGGGCCAGGTATGGAAGGTCACCGTGGTGGAAAGCCCTGTGCCCAGCAAGGAACAATTAATTAGAGGGTGGGACCTTGCCCCGAGGGTGACCTTTCCTCCCCTAGTATACCCCTGCCTATGGCATGGACCCCCTCAGAGGAGGAATGAAGGGATGGAGAAAAACCTCAAATGACTCCCATACAAGCCCTTGCACAACTACTCCTTATGCATTAAGCTCTCAAGACAAAGAGGAGCACAGCAACTCTATAAAGTTAATTAACAGGTAAGTGGCAGATTACCATTTAACTGTTTTATAAGTATTTGCATTATCAAAGAAGGATGTTAATCCTAATCATTTCACTATTAGTAAAATATCAAAAACTATAACACTGAGAAGTAAAATAATTCTGGCCTCCTCAGAGATGTCTTAACAGGAAAACATCTCTCACAACCCAGGCTTGGCTAGGAGTAAACTTCCAGGATCAGTTCCACCAAGTTGGTACCATGCGCAGAGCTGCTTTCTTTTAAATTTCTGAATCTTTGAACAATAAAAGTTCCAATCTTTGCCCACTCCACCCCCCACCAAAGGCATCCATGAGGTAACAAAAGTAATTCTTTGTTTTGTTTTTTGCTTATTTTAGAGAGGGAGGGAGAGGGAGAGATAGAAGCATCAATGATGAGAGAGAATCATTGATTGGGATCAGCCCAGAGAATCAACCAGAGAAACTTCAGTCTCTGGTGGATTACGCTCTACCTATCCATTGAGCCAAACTGGGTAGGGCACAAAAGTAATTCTTAACAGACTCTGTGGAATGGGAAGTAATTCTAACTTTTTCACATTATAAACTTCTGTGTTTGTTGACTTTTAAAACACAATGAGCAGTTAAAAAAAAAAAAAAGTAAAGTTAAAGTAGAATTATCCGCCGAAGCTGGTTTGGCTCAGTGGTAGAGCGTCGGTCTGCGGACTGAAAGGTCCCAGGTTCGATTCCAGTGAAGGGCATGTACATTGGTTGCGGGCATATCCCCAGTAGGGGGTGTGCAAGAGGCAGCTGGTCGATATTTCTCTCTCATCGACGTTTCTAGCTCTCTATCTCTCTCCCTTCCTCTCTGTAAAAAAGCAATAAAATATAAATTTAAAAAAAAAAAAAAAAATAAAGTAGAATTATCCATTAACTTCCTCAAGGATTCTTTCTAAAAACTTTCCATCCTTAGTAAGAACTAATGAATTTCAGAAATTTAAATAATAATGCCCATAACAACAATACTAATAACAACACCAATACCAAATACTACAACCACCTTACTTCTTAATTTAAATAATCTGAATGCAACCCTTTCTGGGAGACTTCTACAAGTGAACACAGTTTATATATGTTTAAAGTCTAAACATGATGGATAACTAAGTTCTATTATATTTAAAATATAACTGAATTTTCCCCCCTCTCTCTACTCTTAGCTGCCAGTGGCTGAATTGTGTTAGACTTTGTTTGAACTATTTCTCCATACAGAGCACTTACTTTTATGCTTTGGGTAGATAACCTCAAAACCAGGCAAGGGCATTACCACATCATGGATGGAGTAATTATTAACATCTTCTTCCTCGATGTAGGTGGCTGTGGCTACAAATTCACAAATAAGTAAATTAAAAAAAAAAAAAAAAGGCAATATTTTCATGAGCTCAGTCTTCTAAAATTATACACATCTGAGCTGTCAGAAGCGCAAGGTGGTACAGTTCTGTGGCCTACAAAGAAGTTAGAGTTGGAATATATATCTTTCACTTTTTCTATTCTACCCAAGAAATAAAAAATCACAGACTTGAAAAAAGTACTAAGTTAAAACTTTCATTTCTCAGCTGCACTTTCACTGTTTGGGAATGCTCGCTTTTAACAGTCAGCTCCTTTTCCTTATTAAGCGATGCTACAAAATACTACTTGGAAAGCTATCACAAATTAATGCATTTTGCTAAAAGAATGAACAATAAAAAACCAAAATGGTCTGTAGTTAGAGGATAAAATACGGTGGCCTATGGGAGATTAAAATACATTTGATATAGATCCCGGCCGGCGTGGCTCAGTTGATTGGGCGACATCCTGTGCACCAAAAGGTAGCTGGATGGATAACTGGGTGGGGCCTACACGAGGCAGCCAATTAACGTTTCTTTTTCATATCATAAACGTTTCTCTCCCTTCTTCTCTAAAACCAATAAAACATATATTTTTTTTTAACGTTTTTTGAAAACATACAGATATGATCAATATTGGGAGAAAAACATTTTTAAAAATTAAAAAATTCATTTTTACATTGACATAAACTATGCACAACTTACTTTCTTTACCAAAAATAACAGCAATGTTTTCTGTCTTATTCCTAGAAAACCACAAAAACACGTTTTTGTAGGTTTTCCTGGTTTTGCTAATATATCAAGAAGATGCAGTCGATACAGTCATGGGAAGACAGAATAAAGCAGACAAATCAGTTGTCAGTATCCATGGCCTCTGATCCTGTCTTGACCGTGAAAGGAAGTGTTTGACGTATGCCTGCTAAAAAGCTTATGAAGATATAGGCTCCATAAAGGAATGTAAACAGCAAAAACAGATGTGAAACAATGGCAGGGTCTTCCATTCAGTCTTTAATTGTATCTAGTTCCTTGAAAAAAGATAAAAATCTACACTGAGCCCTGACCGGTTTGGCTCAGTGGATAGAGCGTCGGCTTGTGGACTGAAAGGTCCCAGGTTCGATTCCGGCCAAGGGCATGTATGTGCCTTGGTTGCGGGCACATCCCCAGTAGGAGGTGCGCAGGAGGCAGCTGACTGATGTTCTTCTCTCATCAATGTTTTTAGCTCGCTATTCCTTTCCCTTCCCCTCTGTAAAAAATCAATAAAACATAAAAAAAAAAAAAAAATCTGCACTGAAATCTTTGTTTGGCAAGCTCACATTTTTCTTTCACTGACTGGCAACTCCCTTAACTTGATTACAGATTTTAATAGCATATTTAAAACCCTTGCTATTCAAATGTTAATTGTGAGCTCATTGTAAGATTTATAAAATGTATTCTTTCCTCTCAGACCTCCTCAAAATGCATTTCTTCAAAGACTTGATAATGCAATACCTCAACAACAGACAGACTTGATCCCGAATCCCAGCCTTTTCCTTCTTTAACCGCCTGTGGAACCCCAGGCAAGTGACTGAAAATCATCTGAAGAATGGATAGAATTCTTGGCAGTATTACAATGAGCTTCAAACTAGAAGACACAGATGAGGGACTCAGCATAGGGACTGTGCCCAGTAATAGCTCAACAGCAGATGAGATTGTCTGGGTGACTGAGAAACATTTCGGGCTCAGTGTGTGCATAAAATGCTCATCAGGTCATGGCCCACGTGTAAAGGGAGCTCCAATCTGAAGTTAGGAAACTCCTTAAACCTGGCCAACAGTCCAGAGGCTGAAGTCCATCACACAGCGCAGAGAAATATTTGTTAGACTCATTAATTTTAGGTAACATCTTATTCCAGCTGAGAAAATGGGCAGTCAGGCGCTAACTCAAACTAGAGGTATATTTTTCATTAAAGATACACATCTAAACTAGTCAGTCTGAGTTTACAATGTCTTCCCATTTCAAACTTACTAGACATCTCTCTCTCTTAACAAGCAGTCAGGCTGGATTTTAAACTCTGGTATCACATGCTTGGACTCTAGTTTGACTGCATGATGACAATATCTGCCTTTTTACCTCCTTTGAGAACTAGGTCCCCTGGAACAGGTGTCAGTCCGTACTCTTCTATTCTCTTGCTCACCATGTTATTCCACACATAGCTTTGGTAGCTATGAATATACATTAAGCGGTTATTTCTAGGTATCTAGAGGGAAGAAGAAAAAACAAAACAAAACAAAACAAAACAAAAAACAGGCAAAAAGTTCTAAATATTAAAAGTACAGTACTTTCCACAGCATCTTACTTTAGTGGTGACCCCACTATAAGACACTTATACCTTAAACCTCCAATATGTAGCGACCGGTGTTAGACATGGAAGCCCTCACACTCAAGGTTATTCACAATGGGCTGCAGCCATAGCTGTGCCCATGTGTACCCACAGTGCAAACATTCACACGGATAAAGCAAACACGACAGAACTTATGCCCTCTGTCAAAGACATAGACTACAAACCCATTCTAGAGCTAATGGTGCTTTCTCCCCCATAATTTTATGTCAGGGAGAAAACCTAAATGATGGAACTAACAAATAATTTCATGAAGAATCCTGCTTTTTTTTGAGTATATTCCTGGGGAAGAGTCAGTAAGACTCAAGTTTAAGAGTTAAACTGTTGTCTATTCTGGATTGTAGTTACCCAAATACTAGGCTACACAAGAGTGGGTACCAATTTGCATTACCACGAAATGCCATCACTTAGACCCCTTACTGTGCAACCCTCTTAACTGAGGCAGGTGACCGTTCTGATGCCAGAGAATGATCAAGAAATGAACTCAATGATGCATTCTGAGTTTTTCAAAAAGCAAGACAGTGAATTTAAATTTCCTCGTAGATAACATTTCCCACATCACTGCTCTTCTCATGCCCTCAATGTTAACTATTACGCGGACACCGTTGCCATCCACTACCCGCCCCCGTGACCTTTCAGGGTCTGAAGCAGCACGCAAATATCACACAACCCTCCTTTACTTCCTGCGCTTTCGGAATTTAGTAAAATATTTAAAGATAACATTTAAAAAGCATTAAACCACCTTGAATCATTTGCCTGACTTTACAAATCACACTCACTATGCCAAATGCAGAGACTATATTCTTCATTCCATATTTTGAAAGTCCTCGAAGCAGCTGCCCTTCCACACACCTTTTGGCAGGGAGCTTTCTGAGGGCAGCAGCCGGGTCTTTAGTCTTCGCCCATTCTTCCCTGCATTTAACCAAATACCCCTTTTCGGCTGAAGGAGGGGTGGAGGTGGGGGGGAGAAAGTTGTGATTAAACAATTTATCCAATAGGCAGATTTGCATAACTTAAAATGCTTCATACAGAACACAAATTACAAAATGCTATTTGTAAAAGCTTCTGCTAACCTGAGAATCACCATCAGAAAATAAATAGATGGGAAGTGTAGAAAGTTACAGAACTAGACAGCTTTGTCATCACCAAAGCCAGTGACTGTTCATTATCATAGCTGATTCAACATACCACAAAACCGTGGCCTGCCTGCCTGCCTGCCTGCCTGCCTTCCTTCCTTCTTCCCTTTTTCTATAGGATTGTCAAATTTAATGGGTTACTTCCCTCAAAATTAGATAATTTTATCTCTTTTAAATATGCAAATGAATAAAAAAGTGGGCATCATTTTTGATCATCTGTAAAGTAATATTTAAATCGTTTTTCATGCAGTATAATTTTAGAAATATTTTCTGGAAAGTTTTAGTGAATTTTTCAAACTAAAGATTCTCAATATATTTTTGCCAAGTTTTTATATCCTAATACACTTTTAAAAATTAACCACAAATTCCTGGGTTCAGAGACTTACTAGTGCATGAAGAAAAGGGATTGAATGTATTCATTAAATAAATCAGATGAGCTAAAAAGCTGAAAACAGCATATAAATGATAAACCTCAAACATGGACATAAACCTTAGGAGAATAAAGAAATACACTATACTTTCTATTTTACCAAAAAACCCCACAATTTTTAAAAATTCTGAACTCCCCTAATTTTCACATACTTTCATTCACAGTAATGCCATGAACATCTAGCCATATATTCTATTTTTTTTTCATAACATGAATTTTATTCTCACCTCCAGAACGGGGTTTCAATATTAAATCCATGACTTCAGCCCAAGAATTTTGTAGTATAGCTCTAAAATGAAACAGCATTTAATTTAGTTACTTTCACATGAAGATGGAATTTTTTATGTCCCAATCCGTGGAGTCAACAAATCACATTGACTTTATGTGTTTTACTAAATTTAAAAGTAAACAGAAAGCCCAATATGACATAGATTTCAAACGTAAATGCCAAAAGAACTTAAAAACAGAGAGAGGATCCTGTTCTACCCAGATTGAGCACGGCCCTTTACAGAGAAGCCAAACTCTGCCAGCCAAGTAGCTGAAGCTGTTTTATCACAACAAAGGCCCAGTTTGTTCCATGAGTATGTATTTTGTTTCTTCAGTTAAATCCTTCAAAAACACATAATAAATTTGGACCAGGGAATTTTTATATATTAAAAAAAAAAAGAGAGGAGAAAAAAACATAAGGTCTACTCATGACATTTAGTATCATTTCACACTTTTAAAATTCTATACATTTTATTAAAAAGTGTGAATACTACACAGTTATGCTTTAAGTTGCTACAGATGGTATTATCTGTAAATAAAAGTTATGTCTTTAGGTGCCTAAACTTACTTGAAACTTCTCAAAAAAATTTCTTCCTGTGTTTTTATAAACCTTCTGGCCTAATGAAACAGAATAAATACAATTTATCATTTTCTATTATTCTTATTAAACGAAAAGCCTTTTTTTTTTTTTCTGATTATAAGTTATATATGTGTCTTAAAAATGAAACAGTACATTAGAAAGTTACCTGTTATCTAATCTCTAAGAAGTTAAACAGTTAACACTTTAGAGAGTATTTTTAAAAAAAAATATATTTTATTGATTTTTTACAGAGAGAAAGAGAGAAGGATAGAGAGTTGGAAACATCGATGAGAGAGAATCATCGATCAGCTGCCTATTGCACACCCCCTACTGGGGATGTGCCCGCAACCAAGGTACATGCCCTTGACCGGAATCGAACCCGGGACCTTTCAGTCCTCAGGCCGACGCTCTATCCACTGAGCCAAACCGGTTTCGGCAGAGAGTATTTTTTAAAACTTTTTGATGCATCTATTATATAAGCATATGCAATTTTCTTTTCTTCTATTAATCTACCTTTTGCCATACAAAAGTAACATTTTGTGTAACATTTCTGATTTTGGAGTCACTCTTAGAAAGGTCTTTCCTAACAAAATATAGAAATCCTTTCTATTAATTTTTGTTTTATTTTTTCCCTCCAGTTAATTAGTATTTATATTTTTCTCATTTAAGTTAATCTATATGGGATATTTTGTATATTAAATTGTATGAAGTGTTGTTTAGTATCTGTTGATGAGATCATATGAATTTTCTTTTATTTTTTAAAAATTATTTTTTATTTATTTCAGAGAGGAAGGGAGAGCTTTTATATATATAGATATTCTCTACTGGACAGCAGTATAGCATAAGTAGGTTTATGAATACAAATATTTATTGATGGGATTCCCTTCATAGCTAGAGGGATTTCCTATTAACTAAAAGTTAACCAGAATTCTTAAAATACCGTGTTTCCCCGAAAATAAGACACCCTCCAAAAATAAGACCTACTCACAGGTTTCCTTCTGAGTGAAATATAAGGCATCCCCCCGAAAATAAGGCCCCCCTAGGCTAACCATGAGAGATTTGGTCCACTGATTCTGAAAGAAATGGAGTCACAAGAAATTCACCAGGAAATTCAGGAATTGGATTGTTATGATGATGTTCCAGAAGATGATGACATGATTGTCATTGAATAAATGAGTAAATTCTTGATACTGTAGGATTCACAGTTTGTCTGGTTTGTGTTGACAATTACCATACTACCGTACCGTATACAGTTAATAAATTTCCTTTATTTTCATTTAACAATAAATGTGTATGGTATTCTTCTGCATGGAAAAATAAGACATCCCTGAAAATAAGACCTAGCGCATCTTTGGGAGCAAAAATTAATATAAGACACTGTCTTATTTTCGGGGAAACAAGGTAGTAGGTCTTACTTCACTAATTACAATCTATACCATTTTAAAAATAAAAGTCAATAAACTGGGAAGCACTGGTTAAAGGAGATTCACAACGGTGTCATCTCTGTCAGGCTACTCTGAGTCTGAGTTACCTAACTGCTAATTGTTAGCTCACTCACTGAACCAAAATTTACCTGTAAAAAAGAAAATAAAAGCAGAATACCTGGATGGACAGTCAAGGGTGGGAGAAAAATGTACTTTTCTGGTTATATCCTTTTGAATTCTGAGTTATTATTTTACCTGTGTATGTGTTAATTCATACAAACAACAAAAATTAGGAGGCTGTGGACCAGTTAATTGTCCAAAAGGCTGACACACTGGCTCATGTGGCCCAGACACAAGGAAATCTGGAAATAATTAAAAACACCACCTGCTTCTGCCGAAACCGGTTTGGCTCAGTGGATAGAGCGTTGGCCTGTGGACTGAAAGGTCCCAGGTTCGATTCCGTCAAGGGCATGTGCTTGGTTGCGGCCACATCCCCGATGGGGGTGTGCAGAAGGCAGCTTATCGATGTTTCTCTCTCATCGATGTTTCTAGCTCTCTATCCCTCTCTTTTCCTCTCTGTAAATAATCAATAAAATATATTAAAAATAAATAAATAAAACCACCACCTGCTTCTTTTTTATGAGAGAGCTCTTTTAGACGAGAGTTAAGAACTTGAATACAAACCTTCCAACTTGATATGTGGGGACGGCTGTAGTTCCAAACCTTTGCATTCCGTAGTAGTTAATAAAACCAATCTCCTTGAGAGAGTTCATGGCTTGTTCTACTTGGTCATCAGTTCCTGTTATATTTCTGTAGGGGCCCAGATTATCCAGAGAAAAGCATTTACAGTCAAACACATTAAGGGATGCACCTCATAAATGACATGGCTTGGTTTCCATGCTTTCCCCTCGTTCCTCGCAGCTTCCTCTCTGCTTCCTGACAACTTTGATATTACTTTTTATTTAATTGTGGTAGAAGAGATGTAACATTAAATGGACCATTTTAGCCATTTCTAAGCTTGCAATACAGTGGCATTAAGGACAGTCACAATCTTGTGTAACCTTCAATGGTATCCACTTCTAGAACTCTCTCATCATCTTCTCAAACCGAAACTCTACACCCATTCAACACTAACTTTCCACCCTCCTCTCTACCCCCGGCCCAGGAAACATCCTTCCACTTTCTGGGTCTAGGATTTGCCTCTTCCAGCCCTCACACATAAGTGGAACGGTGCATTCTCCATCTTTTAACACAGTAGTAAAGGAGATGGCATCTTTCTAAAGGTGGTGCTGAGTTTTTAGAGGGGTGTCAGTACAAATACTCCGGTAAGATTTGCTCTCCCAACCCTAAGAGGCCCCACTCTGCCTTCCCTTGCTGCCATGCCTACTAGTACCAGCTCCCCTCGATGCATAACCGCTCTGTTTTTTCCTTATGAGGTCACATCGAGCATAGACGTGATCAGGCAAGACCCTTTCTGGACTGCACCGGACCCAGTTCTTTACCTGAGAACAACAGTGAAGTGATTCCCTTGAAGCTCTCCCAATTTCAGTGGGTTTTTTTGATAGCTGAAATTCCCTAGCTTAAAGTTCATCAAGCACTTGTTCAAGTGGGCAAGTCTTTGTGCAGTTATTCTAAAAAACAAAACAAAACAAAAACAAAACACATTACAACAATAATCAATAAAGCAGAGCAGGTGAGAGCATGTCAGGACCTTCATTTTCAGGGGTTTTAAAAGGCTGGGTGTTTAGGGTAGTCATGGAGGCTGGACACATTAGGCTACATTAGGTCACTCTACCAAGCCTGGGAGATGTAGCAACTCTACCTAAAAAAGGAGCTCCTGAGGATCCCAAACAAGATGAACTCAAAGAGGCCCACACCAAGACACATCATAATTAAAACGCAAAAGGTTAAAGACAAAGAGAGAAACAGTCACCTAAAAGGGAGCTCCCATAAGACCATCAGCTGATCTCTGCACAGAACTTTGTAGGCCAAAAGGGATTGGCAATATTCAAAGTGAGGAAAAGTAAGGACCTATAACCAAGATTACTCTTCTCAGCAAAGCTAGCTTTTTGAATTGAAGGACAGAAAAAGAGCTTCCCAGATAAGAAAAGGCTAAGGAGTTCATTATTACCAAACCAGTGTTATATCTGCTCACATGTCTTTCTGTTGTTCACATCTTAAGAATGATTTGAAGTCACATTTAAAAAGAGAGGGAAAGAGGAAATAACACCTTTTGGAAACTGTTACTATTATTGCATTATTAAGGAACCCACATCTATGACTGCCATGTTAATAGTGACATGTTCCTACACACCGCTCTGGACTTTCTCTTATAAACAGTGTCTTCTCTTTCAAACTCAACTGAAAACCCAGATTCATGAGGCCTCAGTCTCTGCCCTCTATTCCTGGAAGGTCCCAAAGCCAACCCTGTAGGAGGTTTTATCAAGGAGAAGATTGCTTTGTCTTCCCAGATGACAAACACTCTGCTTTGCTTTATGAGGCAGATAGCAACCCCAAACCACAGACAGGTTGGGACCTGCGCAGGCCTCAATACAGCAATATTTCTATGTTTACATAAGGAAAAAAAAAAATATATATATATATTATAAGATATTTTTACTGATTTCAGAGAGGAAGGGAGAGGGAGAGAGAGATAGAAACATCGATGAGAGAGAAACATCTATCAGCTGCCTCCAACACCCCCCTCTCCCCCAATGGGGATGTGCCCGTAACCAAGGTACATGTCCTTGACCAGAATCGAACCTGGGACCCTTCAGTCTGCAGGCCGATGCTCTATCCACTGAGCCAAACCGGTTTTGGCTAAAATAAAATCTTTATACACACACACACACACACACACACACATTTACATATATATATATATATATATATATATATATATACACACACACACACACACACACACACACACACACACAAAGAATCTGATTTGTTTTTTTAAATGAAATCCACATATATATATACACATATATATAAATGAAATCCTCTTATATACATACATACATACTGTATGTGTGTGTGTGTGTGTATACATTTTTATTGATTTCAGAGAGGAAGGGAGAGGGAGAGAGGTAGAAACACCAATGATGAGAGAATCACTGATTGGCTGTCTCCTGCACACCCCACACTGGGGACCGAGCGCACAACCTGGACATGTGACTGAGCAGGAATTGAACCGTGACCTCCTGATTCATAGGATGAGGCTCAACCATGGAGCCACGCCAGCTGGGCTGTTCTTGTTCTTCTTTTTTTAAATGAGTTGAGGTAAAGTTTATTATTTTAACCTTTATAAAGTGTATAATTCTGTGGTTTCTAATACAGTCACAAGATTGTGACACTGTCACCACTATCAAATTCCAGAACAATTCCATTACCTCTAAAAGAAACCTTATACTCCTTAATCCCATTCCCTCTCCCTGCAGCCTCTGGAAACCACCAATCCTCCTTCTGTCTCTACAGATTTCTCTATTTTGGACATTTCATCTGAATATAATCATATAACGTGGCTTTTTGTATCTGATTTCTTTTACTTAGTACAATGTTTTTTAAGATTCATCCATGTGGTTGTATCTATCCGTACTTCATTTCTGTTTTGGCAGAATCATATTCTGCCTATTCTTGAATATACAACAGATGTGTATTTCCAAATCCCACTAGCATAGCAGAAAGCAAGAGCTATATTCAGTTCTTGTTGGTCTGGGTGCTCCTGGAGAACAGCTGAGATGGAGTTGACAATATCTTCACAAAATTGTTCACAGTTTTAACTTTGATGACCCTGGATCCGGCTTCTTGGTTGTAAACTCATAGCCAATTCTGTGACTAAGCTGGCAATACCAAAATCTCACTTTTAAATGCCAACTTAAGCAGCATGTCACACAAAAGGCCTTTATTAACAAAGCCAGGGAAATACTGGCTCAGAAAGGAGACTGAGAGGGAGAAGCAGGAAAAGAAACAAATCATTCTGAACGAAGCTGTGCCCGCTTGAGATCCTATTAAAATTACTGGGTGACTTTGGAGAGCTGCATGAAGCTGGGGGAAAAAATGCAGCTTATCCCCAGGATTGGCCGATGCAGCTGCAGTGAAATCCTTGCATGACAGAGTGGATTTCTCCTGTGCAACAGTGTTCAGGGGAAAGGCCCATCTGCCCAGCCCCACATCATTAAGCAAAGTAAGCCTGCATCTGTAAGATAAGCGCTATGGGCTTTCCACAGGCCAGCAGTGAGGTGTCTAATGTAATTTCTTACTATCGACAGATGATAAAGGCAACAAAGGTTTAAAGACAGATCAGCCTTGTGATGAAGTGTGACACCTGGTGGCTGACCAAGAAGACAATAAATACCTTCACTCTTCAAATATTCAAAAATTTCACAGCATATATAATGCAATATAATTAATGAAGTGCCTTTTTTTTTTTACTTTTAAATAGGCAAATGACATTTATTTATTTATTTATTTATTTATTTATTTAATACGTTTTATTGATTTTTTACAGAGAGGAAGGGAGAGGGATAGAGAGTTAGAAACATCAACCAGCTGCCTCTTGCACACCCCCTACTGGGGATGCGCCCGCAACCAATGTACATGCCCTTGATCAGAATCGAACCTGGAACCTTTCAGTCCACAGACCGACGCTCTATCCACCGAGCCAAACCAGTTTCGGCAAATAGACAAATGACTTTTAAAAATGTCGACACATGATTGGTCTAAAGAACCAATGTGGAGAATTCTAGAGAAGCAGGATAAAGATAGGTACCACCTTTCTACAGAACAATTAGGGTTTCCTACTGAAAACCCAGAATTTCACATTCCCTTTAAATCAGTAATTCCACTGCCCTAGCCGGTGTGGCTCAGATGGGAGAACATAGTCCCATGCACCTAGAAGTCACCAGTTTGACTCCTGGTCAAGGTACATGCCTGGGGTTTCAGACTTGATCCTCAGTAAGGAGAATGCAGGAGTTTGCAGATTAATGTTTCTTTCATCAACATTTCTCTCACTCTCTCCCCCTCTTCCTCTAAAATCAATGAACAGAAAAAAACACTTTAAAAAAAATCAGTAGCCAAAACTGGTTTGGCTCAGTGGTAGAGCATCGGTCTGCGGACTGAAAGGTCCCAGGTTCGATTCCAGTCAGGAGCATGTACTTTGGTTGCGGGCACATCCCTGGTAGGGGGTGTGCAAGAGGCAGCTGGTCAATGTCTCTCTCTCTAGCTCTATATCTCTCTCCCTTCCTCTCTGTAAAAAATCAATAAAATATATATTTTTAAAAATCAGTAATTCCAGGGGGGAACAGGAGCGGGCTGGAAGAGGTTAATGGGGGGAAAAGGAGGACCTATGTAATACTTTCAACAATAAAGATTAAAAGAAAAAAATTCGGTAGTTCCACTGCTAAGTTTATCTTAATATAAGTATTACAGGTATGTGCCAAAATTCAGCTACCAATATGTCTGTCATGGAATTGCTTATGATAGCAAGAAATGGGAAACAATATAAACATCCAGAAACAAAGTAATCCTTCATAAATTAGGATATGTCCATATATTTAAGTATCTTTTCCTATGTAATATAATGATTTTACTAACAGGGAAAGAGGTGCATCATTTATTGTTCACAGGAAAAGGACTTTATGTAAATAGTCACACTTTATGTAAATGTTTTGGCTTATGAGAGAAAATATGCCAAGTTATGAACAAAGCAATCTCTGAGGGAGTACGATTATGGCAGAACTATCATTTCCACCTGATTTCTTCTGTGTTGAAAACAAAACTAACCAACTTAAATTTTAATTTAGGTGAAAAATTCACAGAGCCAGGCAGAAAGAACAGGACTTGTCCACAGCATTACTTTAGAGAGCAAAGAGATGGCAACAAGCCCCCCGTGTCCCACACCCCCAGCGTATGGGCAGCCTGAGCTTTCAGGCCTGGCGCTCACCCGTTCTGCAGAGTTGCTGGCAGCCCTGGCCCATTTCCTACTGAGGCTGTTCCAAAACCTTCACCCTCTTCTCAAGTTCCCTTCCCCATGCCTGCCCGCTTCCCTCTTAACAGATGCCCACATGCCATGTGTCACAGGAGGAAAAAACTAGGCAGGAAGGTAGGAGCACCACCATTTCAAGTGTTTCCTCCTGAGTCTCTCTCAAACACATCGCATCTGCACACACCACTGTCATGGAGAGAACACGCTCTCCCTCTGCTTTACTGCCACAGCATACCTCTGTCCCAGGCCAGGGGGTAAACGGACTGGAGAACCCGTTATGATGCAAGCAGGAGCTCAATCCCCGGTTCTAATGAATCAGAAAAGTGATGGGAAAGAAGCCAGATTGTGGGGTAAAAAGGAGATGCCACGTCTAATTCATTATGAAAAGATAGGGGGATTGCAAATAAATTAAGTATTTATTTTAAGTAGGGACAGCCAGCACAGATGTCTTATTTATTTATTTATTTATTTATTTATTAATTAAAAATATTTTTATCAATTTTTTTAGAGAGGAAGGGAGAGGGATAGAGAGTTAGAAACATCGATGGGAGAGAAACATCAATCAGCTGCCTCCTGTACATCCCTCACTGGGGATGTGCTCACAACCATGGTACATGCCCTTGACCGGAATCGAACCCAGGACCCTTGAGTCTGCGGGCTGATGCTCTATTCACTGAACCAAACCAGCCAGAGCACAAATGTCTTATTTTTAATCCTATACAATAAAAGCCTAGCAATCAAATGCAGAATGACCAGAACAACCAGTCCACCAGTCACTATGATGTGCACTGACCACCAGGGGGCCGACACTCAATGCAGGGGCTGCCCCTGGTGGTCAGTGTGCTCTCACAGTGGGAGTGCTGCTGGGCTGACCAGGATGAGTGGTGCTCCCACAGCGGGAGCAGCCGCTCAGAGGGCAGGTCCACAGCCACTTGTCTGACAGGGATGAGCAGTGCTCCCACAGCAGGCCAATCCCCACAGGCCACGCCCCTCACCAGCGCACGATCCTGTGCACCGGGCCTCTAGTTATATGATAACTAACATAAGGCAAAGTATACATATTAAAAATATACAAGTTTTGCTGAAACCAGTTTAGCTCAGTGGATAGAGTGTCGACCTGAGGACTGAAAGGCCCCAGGTTTGATTTTGGTCAAGGGCACGTACCTTGGTTGTGGGCACATCCCCAATAGGGTGTGCAAGATGCAACTGATTGATGACTCTCTCTCATCGATGTTTCTAACTCTCTATCCCTCTCTCTTCCTCTTTGTAAAAAATCAATAAAATATTTTTAAAAATACTAAAAAAATAGATATATATACAAGTTTTAATATATGAATAAACTCATGAAACTATCACCACATTCAAGGTAATGAACATGTATGTGCATCACCCCCAAGTTTCCTCCTGCCCGTTTTCCTCGTCCTCCCAGCATTCCTCACCTCAGGGGTGCACTCGGATGAAAGCCTTTACCTCTGCTGAACTGACTGAGTTCAGACTCCTGGTCTTCCTCCTCAGGATATGGCAATACCTCCAAAATCTCCAGTTTCAGTTATATTGCTTTACCCACAACTCATAATCCTGCCTCTAAACACAACTTCCTGTGTAGATCAAGTCCAACACCCTGAATATGACATATAGGGCCCTTCACATCTGAATCCTGTCTACCCCCAAGCCTATTTCTTGCTGTGCTCCCACACAACTAAAGTATGTGCCAGGTACCAAATGTGCTATGTTCCCAATTCCATCCCAGTGTCTGTTCACAAGCTGTTTTCTTAGCTTGGAACAAACAACCCTAGACCTGTCCCAGCCCCAGGAAACTCCTACCCATCCTTCTAGACCAGTGGTTCCCATCCAGGGGCAAGTTTGCCCTTCACGGGAAAATGGCAATGTCTGGAGACATTTTTGGTTGTCAGAGTTGGGTGGTGGTGGGGAATGATACTGATATCTAGTGGATAGAGAGCAGCCAGGGCTGCTGCTAAATGTCCTGCAATGTACAGGATGACCCTGCAACAGAATTATCTAGTCCAAAATGTGAACAGTAAAAAAATTGAGAAGCCCTAATTTAGATTAAAACTTTAGCATACCATTTTCTGAGAAAACCTTCCCTGGCTGTCACCAACAATGAGTCCCTGGCTTTGCTGTCAGATCTATCCTACCACCACCAATATACTTCTATTTCAGCATTAAGCTCACTGTGTAACAGGTTCTGATTTACTTGTCTGCTCTACTAAATAACTGCTTCAAAAGCAGAGACCATCTTTTTCATCTGCATATCTACAGGGTATAACAAAAGTGTTCATTCACTGTTTTCAAATAAAATTTTAAGTAACTTATCCTATATAATAAAAGACTAATATGCAAATTGTCTGAATGGGGCAACAACTGGTCGCTATGATGCAGACACTCAATGCAGGAGCTGCCCCCTGGTGGTCAGGATGCACCCACATGGGGAGCACCACTCAGCCAGAAGTCAGAAGTCTCACAGTTGGCGAGAAGTCAGAAGTCAGAAGTCAGAAGGCTCACAGTTGGCGAGCACATCGGGTGGTGGCAGGAGCTAAGGATGATTAGGCAGTCGGACATCCCCCGAGGGCTCCTAGACTAGGAGAGGGCAAAGGGTGGGCTGAGGGACCCAAATTTTAAGCACCGGGCCTCTAATTTTTAATAACGAATGAACAAGAGAGAGCGAAAGATGCACTATACTCATGGATCTACCACAAAAATCCGTTAACATCACACAAATAATACCTGTGTGCTATAAAAACTTTGGGAAGTACAGACAAGCAAGCAAGAAAAGAAAAAGAAAAACAACTTTTGAACAGGGAGAGATACCATCTAACGATTGGAGAGAAACACCCCACAAAGCAAATGTGAGGCTTCTGAAAGGTGGTGCTAGGATTTTGCAATGTGAACCCCAGTATGTGCTCTCTACTTACTTGAGAACAGCAATCTCTTGGACAGTGATGGCCCGTTTATCTTTGGTCCCCATGTAGGAGAATATGTTTGGCTTGACTCTGGAAGGACAGAAACAAAACCATCCGAAGTAGTATACCAGTAAGAAAGCACATTTTTCATAACTTAAGATTCAAAATATACTTAAAATCATAATAGATTAATAAGGAGATACAACTTAAAAACATACCCAGAAAAGCATAAATGCAACATGAGAATGTAAGTGATGCCTGAACAACCCCCTAGCAATGCTTGACTTAACATGTGTGTGGCGCTAAATAAGTAACATACGGTTTAAAGACTTAGCTGGCCAGTAATAAGAAAAGAAATAATGCATATCCTGTTAATCATATGCAGTGCATTACACTACATAGTTGTGAAGGTTAAAAAAAAAAAACCCACAAAAAAACCAAAACACCTCATTCTAGCTATATAATGTGCCACTCTGAGAACTTTGTATCTTCAATTTAAAAAAAGTCTATGATGATATGAACTTTGTGAATAGACATGCTATTTCTTTGAATTAAAAAGCCAAATGCTAATGCTGGGATCTGAACAGTTTTGCAACGAAGCTATAGGTAAGCTAGTTTGCTAAGACATAGGTTATAAAAACTGCTCCATACTAACTGGAGAAAAACAGGAGGAATTTCTTAAACTCTGAGCAATCCTCAACCCAGCCCTCAGAGGAAGCCCTCCACACCGCCTCCCCTTCCCTGTGACGCCGTGTCTATCCTCTCGGGCTCAGGTGCAGGCAAGGCACCACAACCCTCTCCCAGAGAGCTAGCAACCAGAGCGAAATAAATGTTACCTAACAGAGTGCTGTGTCCTGGGCTGAGCGGGGTTCCCCCCAAATGCCTATGATGCAGCCCTGCCTCTAGGCACTTCTTAAAACATTTGAAGACCGAACCTTTAAAGACATGATTAAGTTAAAATGAGGCCATAGGACGGGCCCTCATCCAATCGGGACTGGTGTCCTAGTAAGAGGAGGAAATTTGGACACACACGGAAACTCTGGGGACACGACACACAGGAAAATGCCATGTGAGGACACAGAAAGGTGGCCACCTGCCGACGAAAAAAACCCCAAACCTATACCACCTTGACTGACACTTCTCGCCTCCAGAATGGTGAGAAAATCCGTCTGCGCCTGTGGCTTTTTGTTATGGCAGCCCCAACACGACCCACCTTGTTTAAACTGGGTTAAATATATAGTAGAAAGCAAATCTGTATTGAAAAGGCATTTGCTGTGGTGCCTGTACCCATTTCTTAGAAAATAAAATCAACTCCTTCAGCACCTGGCCCATCCTCAGAGTGTCTGCATTCCTATGAGGAAATCCGACTGGTCTCGGCCTTTCCATTGCCTCATAGTTTAGTGAAACAAACCTCTGCAGCCCCATCACAGTGTAGGCTTCGGAGAAGAAAGGTAACCTTATGTTCAGCTGAGCAGACTGGTTACTCACTACTACGTGTGAACAAGTTACTTATGGAATTTTCATCTTGAATCATTGGCAATATGCAGGGAGATTTTTAAAAAATTAAATCATGCCGAAACTGGTTTGGCTCAGTGGATAGAGCATCAGCCTGGGGACTGAAAGGTCCCGGGTTCAATTATGGTCAAAGGGCATGTGCATTGGTTGCGGGCACATCCCTGGTGTGGGGTGTGTAGGAGGCAGCTGGTCAATGTTTCTCTCTCATTGATGTTTCTAGCTCTCTTTCTCTCTCCTCTCCCTTCCTCTCTGTAAAAAAGCAATAAAATATATTTTTAAAAAAATAAAAAAATTAATTCACCTACTGTGTAAGGAAACTGTAATTAGGAGGCATATTTGCTACCTGTTTGCCTATTTTCCCACTCCTTTCTTATTAGCTTGGAAAGAAGAAAATGAATGGGCACATTTTGACTTTGTATAGTGACAAGAACAAGATACGCACCTTAAGTATTTGGACAGCACGTTAATAGCATCCATGGTGTCTTTGTTCTCCTTGTACAGTACAAAGTGGCAGTAGCTTCCCCTAGATTTTGGCCAAGAATGTTTTCTTGGATCTTAAAAACAAAAGAATTAAACGTTATAGACGCTGCAATAAACGTTATCTGAGTTTTCCCCCCCTTATGAAACCCTAGTTCATTGTTCGCTGGAGAACCTTTGAGTAGAGAAATCAGATCTAGCCTGACAGGAAGTGCAGGTGAAGTGGTTGCAGCTGTGTGGACTCTAAGTATTAAACGTTTTGTGACTGGATACTAACATTACCTGATCATATTTAAAATCAAAAGCTGAAGGCAGGCGGTGTGACAGGTGACTAAGACTAACCGACAACCTCCACGCGGCAGTCACTTTAAAGCACACGCAGGACCGGGGGGCCGACGGGCTCTCGGAACGCATGCAGGCCGGAGGGAACCCCCCGGCGCTGCCTCGCATCCCGGGGTGCACACACACGGGCTGGACGCCTGAGACGGGACAGGATGGAACTTGCGAGGAGCTGCCTCAGGGACACATTTAGGTTTTCCGAAGGTCACCTCCATCACAAAGCAGCTAAAACTGATGGTTTACAGAGAGAGCAGCTGGCATTCAAGACCTAACTGCCATTTTTGGGGAAAAGGAGGTGTTAACAGGTAAGCCAGGTGTAAATGTTAACTTCTGAGCTACCGTTACTTCGCTTGCTGGGCTTTTTTGGAAATAAACATTTCAAGACTTTGGAGAAACTGGTTTTTTTTTTTTTTAACACTTCTTTTATATAACATTTCCATTATCATATAATATATAGGCACACGTTTAAGCAATATTAAGATTTAGACTTAAGCGGCCCAACGGGTATTTAAAAAAAAAAAAAAAATCAACACTTTGGGAAAAATATGTAAATCACAACTGCACTTCCCAGACATACAAGAATACCCGTGAGTCTCGGGTGACACACAGCTGCAGTTGTTAATTGAACACATCTAATTTACTCAGTGTCTGTCACTTCTATGAGAGAAAAACTGAAAAAGTATTTCACACAATCCCTAGGGAAGTGCCTGCTTTTAAAAACGGTCCTTTGTCTTTGTCCCTAAAATCGTCCATTAGCATGAATTCATGCATCCCTCTCAGAAACCTGAGAAACTTCCAGGAGGGAAGCTAAAATGTAAAGAGCAAAAGAATCAATAAAGCATCTGGGAAAACGGCCAGAGCACGGAGGCTCAGTGAGTTGCTTTTTCTTTCTGGTAAGTATGACTGTGCGTCTTTTCCGCCTTAAACAGAAACGTTTAACAAGTGTTTCTTTGGCTCTCGGTGTGAGTTCCTCACAACTCATCCTCAGAAAATTGCAAATGGGAATATTATTTTTGGTTTCCCTTCCAGATCACTACAGTTAAGCAAAGTTGTCTACACTTGGCACTTGTGACAAAAACCAGTGGCGTTTCATTTCGTCTACATGAAACGCCAACCGCTCTTACCTGCTGCAGTTCTGACCTCTGTCCAAATGCACAGCGTAAAGAGCACAAGAGAGCAACGTTTAATTTATAGGAAATAATACTAACGTGCTTTAGAGGTGAACATGCAAATGATCGCATGGAAAGTTTCTACCAGGGACTTGGACAGCACCTGGTAGAAGGCGGTGGGTTAACAGCCATGTAGACATTGACAATGGAATGTCGCAGAGGCAAACGGTGAACAAGCAGAGAACTCACCTACAGGTACAAGCCTCCCTGCCTCAATCCCCTCACAATCGTCTGTCAGGTCATCCTCAAAGCTGCACTGTCTCTACCCACTGGAAGTAGCAAAAGGTTTAGGACTGGATGCAAGGCCCTGGCCAGGGAGCTCAGTTGGTGAGAGTGTCAGCCTAGTATGCCAAGGTTGTGGGTTCGATTCCCAGTCAGGGCTCATACAAGAGTCAAACAATGAAGGCATAAATAAATGGAACAAAAAATTTATGTTTCTTCCTCTTTCTCTGCTTCCTTTCTGTCTCTAAAATTAATTGGGGGGTGGGGGTGGGGGAAGAAGTTCTAGCTGGTTTGGCTCAGTGGATAGAGCGTCGGCCTGTGAACTGAAGGGTCCCGGGTTCGATTCTGGTTAAGGACACATGCCCGGATTGCAGGCTTGATCCCCAGTGTGTGTGTGTGTGTGTGTGTGTGTGTGTGTGTGTGTGTGAGGGGGAGTGGGGTGCAAGAGGCGGCTGATCCGTGATTCTCTCTCATTATTGATGCTTCTGTCTCTCTCACCCTCTTCCTTCTTCTCTAAAATCAATAAAAATATACATGCAAAATGCTAAAATGCTTCCCCACCTAGAGATTTTAGAGATTGTGTTCTTAAATATGGGAGGACATGTACAGAAATGCTCTTTGTGATTCACATTTGGTGGTGAGATTGCAAGTAATTATTGCTTTGCTTTGTGTTTTATGAGTTTCCTATAGTGAGTTACAAATATTTTTTATTTGAAAAAATGTGAAATTATTATGAAAAACAGTTCTTAAGCCAATAGATTCAAAGAGATTTAAGAGATGATTGATATAATGGGATTAATATACTACCCCCTTCATTTACGTGCATATCTAAAAATGTCCATAAAAAAAAAAAAGTTAAAAATATATTTGTGGTAAAGGTTGATGAAGTATAGCTACATTTTCCTTTAACTAATACATTTCCTTTCGGTAGTACATTCACAATAAACCAAAAATGGCAAAAAAATAAATGAAGCCAGAAGACTAAAAAACTAAATGTTCAAAAAACAAACAAATAGCCGGGACCGGTTTGGCTCAATGGATAGAGCATCGGCTTGGGGACTGAAGGGTCCCGGGTTCGATTCCGGTCAAGGGCATGTACCTTGGTTGCGGGCATATCCCCAGTAGGGGGTGTGCAAGAGGCAGCTGATCGATGACTCTCTCTCATCGATGTTTCTAACTCTCTATCTCTCTCCCTTCCTCTCTGTAAAAAATCAATAAAATATATTTAAAAAAAAAACAAAACAAAAAAACAAAAAAAACAAACAAACAAATAAAAAAAACCCTAAATGCTATAAAACCTTAAGAGTATGACAACTGATTATGAGTTTTGGCTCACAAGCATGCGTCTGTTCTTTGTTTTGTTAACCACCTGAGGTTATTTTTTCCCATTGCTTTTCAGAGAGTGGAAGAGCGGGGAGGAGGGGGCGAAAAACATGTGTGTGAGAGAGACACATCCACTTACTGCCTCCCACACTCACCCCAAAGAGTGGGGTGGGGAGGAGCAAACTCGCCAGGTATGTGCCCTTGATGGGGGATCGAACCCGACACCTTTGGTGCATAGGCTGACACTCTAACCACTGAACACACTGGCCAGGATGAGCATGCATCTTTTATTAGCAAATCCAAGCACTGAGCATGCATATCATTACCTCCTCTGCAAATACCAGATGCAAGGATTCTTTTTCTAAGTGCATTCGGTATACAAAATATTAAGCATATGCATTGATTAACAGAAAATCTATGAGTATAAATTTATTTCTGGGTAGTCTGTTTAACTTTATAAACCCCCAAATCCCTAAAATGCTAAATAGCACATGTATAGCTTTACAATTTAAAATAACTTTCAGAATGCTTGAGACATTCTAATTTAAAATGTTAATGCAGAGAAGCCTCAGGCTGAGAAAATAGGAAGCGGCCTTCTGATGGTCTGATATGGCAGCCCTCGTCTAGTAGAAATAGAAACCAAACAAGAGAAATGTTCAGGAAGATTCATGAACCCTGGACAGAGACCCTCATGAATAAGGAAGAAAAAAAAAAAATGTTTGTAGCTCAAGAAAGATGACAGGAGGGGGTAGCATGCAGAACATTCTTTCCTTCTTAGTCAAGGCTCTGTCCAGTGCTGCACCCCTGCACGCCAACCTTCCGGCTTCCTCAGGGGTCCTGCTCCATCATCCCACTCCTCCCGGAATTTTCACCCTCCCTCGACTGGCTCTTCCTTCCGTACATCAACATGGTCAGGGCTCTTCCCCTTTACTTACTTACTTATTTATTTTTTAGGGCTCCCCTTTATAAGGCAATCTTATGTCTCCCTCTCCTTAACCACGTCCCTTTCCTTTCTCCTCCTCGTGAGAGCTTATTTGAAAAAGCAGCCTGTATTTACTGCCTTCCCCCTCAGCCCACTGTGTACACTGGTTTCCAGCTTATCCCACGGAAACTGCTCTGGCAGGCACCGATGATTTCCATGTTGTAAATCCTGGCGGACACGTTTCAGAGCTCCGTTCTGCCGGACCTACCTGTCACATTTCCACTGCTACCCACTCTGGCTACCGGAATGCCATCACACGAGTCTCTCCCAGAGTTTCCTCTTCACCCGCCTGGCTCTCCCTCCTGAGTCTCCGTGGAATCCCAGCCCAGGTATCCGCCAGGGACGGAGAACCTCTACGTATCACCCGGCAGAACTTTGTTTTGTTTTTTTCACTTAAGTCTTTGAAAAGTTCTCAGAGGTACTTGGAACGTACATGAGCTATCCCAAAACATAAATCAATTTACCCGATTAGATGATTTAATAATAATTACATGTTTCCAAAAAAACAACAAAAAAAACCCACTATAGGGATGCTCTGATAGATACATCTATGTGCCATATCTATCAGGCTGGATGTCTAACTTGAAGTAGTTGGTGACGTTTGGGCACCACGATTCAGAACCCATGATGCCTATGGTTTAGGACGCACGCTCTGTTTGAGAAAACATTGAGAATTTGTATCAGGGTTTGGTAGTAAATGGACTCTGAAAACATTATAAATGTAGATTTGCAATGAAGATTTAAAAGCTAATTAATTCAGCCCTAGCCGGTTTGGCTCAGCGGATAGAGCATCAATCTGCGGACTAAAAGGTCCCAGGTTTGATTCCAGACAAGGGCACATGCCCAGATTGCGGGCTCGATCCCTAGTGGGGAGCATGCAGGAGGCGGCCAATCAACGATTCTCTCTCATCACTGATGTATCTATCTCTCTCCCTCCCTCTACCTTTCTCTCTGAAATTAATAAAAATATATTTAAATTAAAAAAAATAAAAGCTAATTAATTCAAATGCTAGGCAGGGTGGCCCAGGAGAAGAAGGTGTCATGGGTATCAGGTTCTATTTTATTTATTATTATTATTATTATTTTTTTACTTTTTAATTTTTTTTTAAATTTTATTGATTGGTATCAGGTACTATTTGCAGGGGCATGAACAATATTCTCTGGATACCGGCTCTCCCTGCCTTCCCAATGGTGATTACTTTAAGCCACTCTCACTCGCGGGTGGGGATCTAGATCTGTGAGAGATGAATGCAGGTTCCCAAGAGCCTGTCTGGGTCTAGGAGGAGATTGAGAGGAGAGCTCAGAGGGAGACCTCTCACCCCACTTCGCTAAATGCCACCACACCTCAGGCCTGAGAGGTGCGAGCAGTGATCCAACCTAACCTGCCTTCGTGCTTCTTTTTAAAGGGAAAAGCCCATTATTTTACTGAAGATGTGCACAGGGAGATGGGGAGGGTGGTGCATGTCACAAGGAGCTCAGCATCTCACCGGGAATTTCTTTCTTTTTTTTTTTTTTTTAAATTATATTTTATTGATTTTGTACAGAGAGTAAAGGCGAGAGATAGAGAGTTAGAAACATCGATGAGAGAGTCATCGATCAGCTGCCTCTTGCACACCCCCTACTGGGGATATGCCCGCAACCAAGGTACATGCCCTTGACCGGAATCGAACCCGGGTCCCTTCAGTCCCCAAGCCGATGCTCTATCCATTGAGCCAAACCGGTTTCGGCTCACTGGGAAATTCTTAAGGGAATGTCTTTGGGGAAAAAAAAAAAAGAAAAATGGTGGGTGTGGCATAAAGCAGAGAAAATGTAGCTAAAGACAGAGCCTGAGAGACCTGGTGCCATTCATTCCCTTGAGAAGGAAGGGGTGAGAAAACGGCGCTGTGGCCTCCAAGGCCCTCGCTCCCCTCCTGGAAGACCACAAGCAACCCCTAAGAAACAACGATCACTCTCAAGAGGTGCCCCGCCAAAGAAAGTCAGGCTTTACCTTTTCCAGTTTGCTTCCTCAAGACCACACTCGGCAGAACAAGACCCTGACTTTGCTTTTTGCCTTTGCGAGAGGGTGGCTGACCGACACGCACGGCCTCTCGTAAGGAGCGTCTCCCTGGCAGCCCTTCTCAACCTGGGTCCCAAGGCATTGGACGGAATGGAGCAAGTCACCTTCTCTTCTCCCCATCTAGAATAGCTGCCCAGCTACAAGCTAATCGTGGGAGGATGGAAAAAAATAGTCACTCGGACCATATTCCACTGGGCTGAATTCTCCTGAACAATTCTGGCTGAAGAGAGACTACTACTAGGTAATATTTTATACTATTGACTCAGACATCAAAGTAACATACAGCAACCACACCATTAGTTTGTGGAACTGGAAGTATGTTAACAACACGTAACTGCAAGTAGTTTCGGAACATCTGATCTCACTTTTCCTTTTTTTTGGCATCCACCGAGAAGTGGCCTCCAATCTCCTTTTCCTTCTCCCCAACTGCTCAAGGTTTCTCATTTCTGTTACCATCCATACTTACTGATCTCACTATATTATTTTCTCAGGCATAGCTGAACCTAATTTCTGCCCATGTGTCTTATATCCTTTCACTTCACTAGAACCATAGTTAAAAAACCACAAAGGTTTCGTACATTCAGAGCATTAACCTAAGGAAATATGACCAAGCATTAATGCTTTGAACAGTCTTTTTTTTTTTTTTTTTTTTTAAATTTGGTCTAACAAATATATCCAGAAGTAACTCCACTAATAGATACCATTCCTAATAGGGGAGGAGGAGGAAGAAATAATTTTTTCTTACTGTAATTTTCATTAAAATTGTAACTGTTGATTTGACAAGGAAAAACTATCTACTATTTCTTAAGGTTATATACAAGTAGAAATTGTCATGGCTGTAGAAAACACATCCTATATGATAAAAGGCTAATAGGCAAATCAACTAAATGGTGTAACAACTGGTCGCTATGACCACCACGAGCTGCCCCCTGGTGGTCAGTGTGCTCCCACAGGGGGAGCACCCGTCAGCCAGAAGCCCTGAGCCGGGTTCACGCCAGCGGCAGTGGTGGGAGTCTCTCCGGCCTCCGTGGCATCGCTAAGGACCCTCGGGATGTGGGGGGAGAGGACCTAAGCCTTCAGTCTGACATCCCCCGAGGGCTTACGACCGTGAGAGGGCACAGACTGGGCTGAGGGACCCCTAGGCCTCCCCTCCACCCCCCAAGCCCAGTGCATGAATGTCATGCATCGGGCCTCTAGTCAGAACATAAACATCAGGGATTCACTGAAAACACACCCATGTCAAATGAATGATACACAATGAAAGTTGGGCTTAGGCAAAGGGGTGCTTTTTCTATATATCTCGTGGTTTTTCTTTTATTATTTTTTCTGTGGTTTTTCTATGTGAGTGAAGAAAAATACAGTTGGAAAGCCAGCAGCTCTTTCAAGATAAGAACTTTGCTAAAAAATATACTATTAGGATAGGTGACAAGCATTTTCTGTTCACCTGAAAGCTTTCATCTCTCCATTAAGAACACAGAGTGAGCAACAGCCTTTCATTTTCTTCTTGAATTGCCCACTCTGCTCTTCAGGGGACAGATAAAATTCCTAAGACCTCTCTCAGGCACCACTGTAATTTCAGCAAATCTTTTCTCACACAAACGACCTAACGCCCCCTATCAGACAGACATTCTATACGATGGCTCCACCATCTGAAATGATATTATCCACCCTCTTTGAAGAAGTGACGTGATCAATATCCTTCTTTGAACAACAGCAAAGTAGAGGAGGGGCGGACCTGCCTCTGGGGCTCGCCAGGCAGGAGAAATGCCAGGTCACTCACGTACTTACTTGCCAGAGCCTTCTTCCCAGCGGCATGGTAGGCTACAATATATTTCTTCCCCTCTCTGTCCTCTGTTTTTGTCTCTAGTCCTGGAAACAGAGACTTAATTGCTTGATGGATGACAGTTCTTTTCTCTTTGGTGTCCTCAACAACCTATCAAAAGCATAGATAATGATATTACACATTTAACAAACATGAAATAGAGAAATTATACTAATGAATGAGATAAGACACTACTCATTTTATTAGCTAGGTGAAATAACGAAAGGACACAGGTGTGATTTCAGAAATCTTTTAGACCGCCGAAACCGGTTTGGCTCAATGGATAGAGCGTCAGTCTGCGGACTGAAAGGTCCCAGGTTCGATTCCGGTCAAGGGCATGTACAATGGTTGCGGGCACATCCCCGGTAGGGGGTGTGCAGGAGGCAGCTGGTTGATGTATCTCTCACATCAACGTTTCTAGCTCTCTATCCCTCTCCCTTCCTCTCTGTTAAAAATCAATAAAATATATATATAAAAAGAAAAGAAATCTTTTAGACCTTCACAGTACGCAAGCACAACGAGCCTATTGGTGGCGCATGTCCATATACCAGGCACTGTGCCAAGCACTTTGCAGACGCTCCCTCGGGGACTCTGCTGGACCAGCACTTCAGGGCTCACAGACGGAAATGCAGGGATGGCAGAAACTCAACGCCCTCGAATAGTCCAACCCACAATTGCCTCATAATGAGTTTTATATGACTCATTTTGTAATGACGTGCTAGAACATTTGTTCACAATAATAATTAAAAAAATCAACATCAAGAAAATATAAACTTATAATGGTTTTTCAATTTTTGAATGGGTCTCACATTAAGAAATACATTTCACATCTGGATTCAACAGTCGGAAGTAAGTATGTGTACATATCTTATTAACAATTAAAAATTATTTTTAAAGAAATAATACTTATTTGGACCCTAACTATGTACAATATACTATAATTTTCTATTTTATTTTATTGCATTAAAAAAAGGTAAGATCCATTAAATTGGGTCTATGACCCACTAATGGATGAAACATCAATGAGAGAGAATCATCGATCAGCTGCCTCTTGCACATCCTCTACTGGGGACATGCCTGCAACCAAGGTACATGCCCTTGATCAGAATTGAACCCGGGACCTTTCAGTCTGCAGGCCTGACACTCTATCCACTGAGCCAAACTGGTTTCGACCTGAAACATTTAAAAAAAAAAACACTTTTTTGGCCACGGTTTCTGTGGGTAGTGGTATCTGTTAGTGACAAAAACATTTTTTTAGTGTAAATAATGCCCTTTTAGATAAAATAGAACATCATTCTTTTGTTAACTACTATGATTTTTCCAACAGACACTTAACAACATCTACCCCCAAAAAAGCAATGCAAAACCTCTACAACCTTTTCATATGTTTCTTTACTACTCACCTCAATGGCAACACTGGTTTCCTTATTTTTAAAAAGCTGAAGCTCTTCTAAACGCTGCTTTTCCTCAGCTGTCAAAACTGTAAATAGGTCTTCTGGAGGATCCTTTTAAATAACCACAAAAACTCCCAATGAGTCACACACAGAATTCAAGGCTCTAAAAAACGCTACTTTTATACAGAAGGTGACTTTTGCCAGAGAGTGGGCTCCTACCTCCTCATCCACGGGGACGGACAAGTCATCCAAATGGCTGATGCGCCCATCTTTTCCTATTTCGTGGACAACAAAGTCAGAGTATCTGACGAAAAGAAAACACAAACTTTCAGAGCATTAGCATTTTGTTTCCTGTTAATTTTAGGAAACAGTCTGACAACAGTAAGCCTTACAAACTCAATATAGAAAAATCCGTTGTTTCTATATGCTAACAATAAACTATCAGAAAGAAAAAAGAAAAATAAATAAAATAAAATAGCTAGGAATAAACTTAACATAGGTGAGAGGAAGGAGCCCGATTCCAGGGTGTGTCACCCAAGAACTGCCCTGTAGCAATCCGAGACCCCTCGGGGGATGTCCGAGAGCAGGTTTCGGCCCGATCCCCACAGGCCAGGCCAAGGGACCCCACTGGTGCACAAATCCACGCACCAGGCCTCTGGTTTCTTTATAAAGAACTAATATAACTAAAATAACTTTGTACATAAATGAAACATACCTTTCTTTTAAGATTCCCGAGAATCCTTGATGAGAACTTACAAACTTGGTGATGCCTACATCAAGTTCAGTGAGTCCATGCTTCATCATGTCTGCAAAACTCTCAGCTTCCTCTTCCTCCTCACCCTCCTCTGAAAGGCCATCTTCCTCCTCCTCTTCCTCTTCTTGCAGCTGGGCATCAGAATTTCTTTTACTCTTTCCAGCACTTACAGCTTCAGGTAGCGCAGGCACATTTTCACAGCGGGGTGGAGAGTTATTTTCTATCCCATCCTGACCTTTGGTTAGCCAGCCTTCCGAGACCTTCTGTCTTTTTGCCTCCTCAGCTGGGGCCAGATTGTCATTATCTTCAACAGCGAGGGATCCACGTTTCAGCGACACACCAGTCATTTCTGTCATCTCCATTTTTAAGGCTCCAAGAAAACCTTTTGGGAATACAGAGTAGAAAAGTAATAATCACTTCTTTAATTAAGTGGGTTCCAGCCGAGACCAGTTTGGCTCAATGGATAGAGTGTCGGCTTGGGGACTGAAAGGTCCCGGGTTCGATTCCGGTCAAGGGCATGTACTTGGTTGCGGGCATATCCCCAGTAGGGGGTGTGCAAGAGGCAGCTGATCGATGACTCTCTCTCATCGATGTTTCTAACTCTCTATCTCTCTCCCTTCCTCTCTGTACAAAAATCAATAAAATATATTTTAAAAAAAATAATTAAGTGGGTTCCAGCAAACAGAAGCACAGTTAATTTTATTCCTAGTCCTAAAAACCATTTATTTTTTATTTTTATTTTTAAATATATTTTATTGATATTTTACAGAGAGGAGAAAGGGAGAGAGATAGAGAGCTAGAAATGTCGATGAGAGAGAAACATCGAACAGCTACCTCTTGCACACCCCCTACCGCGGATGTGCCCGCAACCAATGTACATTCCCTTGACTGGAATCGAACCAGGGACCTTTCAGTCCTCAGACCGACACTCTACCGCTGAGCCAAACCGGTTTCGGTCTAAAACCCATTTATTTAAAGAATTCTTCCTGCCCTGGCCCTTGGTGCTGTCTTGGAAGAGCACCAAGAGATTGTCGGTTCAACTCCCGATTCCCAGTTAGGAGCCAGCAGTCCCGGATTGTGAGAGGGATGTCTGACTACAGGATCAGGTCTCAAACTGGCAGTCAGACATCCCCTGAGGAGTATTGGAGAGGATGCAGGCTGGGCTGAAGGACACGCCGAATTTTGTGCACTGGGCCTTTAGTGAAAAAAAAATTTTTTTTTAAATAATAAAATAAAAATAAATAAATGAAGGGCCAAGGCAGCTCTGCCTAGGCTCACTCCTGTTTCTGAGATCCTGCCTCTTCTCTCTTAAGTCCCTCCTTTGTTTCACTGTTCCCAGTTTTAATAAATTTACTCTCAAAATCACCTGGACTCATGCCATGAAATCTTTCCTGCACAAAATCAATAACCCACACATTACAGACCCTACTGGGGCAGACCTGCCTTGATCTCAGTCCATTTCCAGTGACAAGACCACATATTATAACCATTCCCCTTAACATGGTAACCCTCTTAAGGAAAGCCCATAGTTACTTCAGGATTCATTCCTCAGCACTGCACTTCATCCCTTCGACAGACATTCACCAGGCACCCCTGCACCAGAAATTACTCCCAGGAGTGAAAAGACAAGGCAGTGAATAAAATAATTGTCCCACCGGTATTTACTTCCCAAATCACAGTCATTCAAGTCTGGCCCTATATGACATCCTTTCCCAAATATATTTTTAAAATATATTTTATTGATTTTTTAGAGAGGAATGGAGAGGGATAGATAGCTAGAAACATTGATCAACTGCCTCCTGCACACCCCTCACTGGGGATGTGCCCGCAATCAAGGTACATGCCCTTTGACCAGAATCAAACCTGGGACCCTTCTATCCACTAAGCCAAACCGGTTTTGGCAGATCACTGCTTTCTTGCTTCAAAACTCCTCTCCTACTTCTTTTCCTGCCTCTGGAGATGCTTGCCCCTTACATTTGGGCTTCTCTAGGTCCCTTCTCCAGTCTTGCTCCCTTCTCACTCCTCAGTATTCCAGTCAAGACTCCTCCGTCTCCAACTCCTACCCAGGGTCCAAGGCAATCATAGCTAAGCAATAATAATGTGTAGGTGGTGAGTTTGTTCAAGCCCCGCTTCAACCCTATGACAGAAGGGTCATTACCCTTCTCAGCTAAGCACTGAAAAACTGAGGCCCAGAGATGAAGTATCTTGCTTCTAGTTTAGAGACAGTAAGAGGTAGAATCAAATGCTCAAACTCAACATGCTCTAAACTGATCTCATCTTTTCCCATCACAAACACACTTCTGTTAAACTGGACCTCTTACCTCAGGGAATATTACCGCAAACTAAATACCAGTCACCTGTGTCAGAATATGGGCATCATCCGAACTCCTCACTCTCCCCTACACCTACATCAGTGATTTCGTGGATAAAATTCTAGAAGGTTTAGGACAACATTGTTATGCCCGACATCCCTGGAATGAGTGTTAGCAGACCAGGAACTGAAATATCAACCCTGGTTTCACTCTTACTTGGTGAATGGCAATCTGTGGGGTATAATGTGGAGCCTGATCTAGGCTTTGCCATTTAATAAGCAGATCATTTAATCTCCCTAAGCTTCAGTTTATTTCTCTGTAAAACTGAAAAATGATCACTTGGTCAAAGGCCTGTACTAACGGTTCTATTTAACTGTTGATCATTAATATTTATTATGGATGGTTTACACAGAGTTGCTACTGCTGAATCTGGAGAAATAAAACAAAGCTTATGCTTTTTTCATTCTCTAGGCTAATGATTAAACATGATTTTCTCTTTCAAATTCCACTAAATTCTAAGAAAGCCTCAGAGTACTGCCAATAGCAACAAATAAAAACATCTTTGGTATTTTTTGAAAGTCTCTCTTGGTCCTGTGGATCTTTGCCTGATCTTTTTTCTTATTATATTTAACCAGAGGCCCAGCGCACACAATTCGTGCATGGGTAGGGTCCCTAGGCCTGGAACTGTGATCAGGACTGATCTTTCCCAGCTATCGGCAGCTGCCCTGTGTGTGTGGAGCGACCAGCAGGGCTATAGGGTCCCTGGCGCCGCACGCATCAGCCACCACCCAACCCCGGTTTCCAGTTCCTTGTTCCCCATTGGGCGATCGGAGCTGCCAGCTGGGGTAGAAAGAACCAAGAGGTTGGCTGTTCCCACTCACTCGTTGGACCTGCCCCCTGCTGCCACCAGTTGCCCTTGGTGTGTGGGGCTACTGGCAGGACGATTGGATCGATTGAGGACCTAGCAGATACGCTGCCACCCACCCTCAATTCCCGGTTCCCCATCGGGCAATCAGAACCTGCTGGCCAGGGGGAGGAACCAAGAGGTTGGCTGGCAGGTCCCAATCAGGTGATTGGGACCTGCGGGCTGGGGGCAGCTTCTCCATTGAGCATCTCCCCCTGGTGGTCAATGTGCATCAAAGCCACCATCCAGTCAATTGGCACATCATGCTTTTATATATATAGACTAGAGGCCTGGTGCACACATTTATGCACCAGTGGGGCCTATCGGCCTGGCCTTTGGGATCAGGCCAAAACTGGCCCTTCAACATCCTGGGGGGGGGAGGGGGGTGCGTGTGTCCCCGGATTGCAAGAGTTCATTACATTTGTTCATTCCACAATGTTTATAGAGCATCTCTTATGTGTCTGGCACTATTTTAGGTGCTGTGAATAAAGGGAAAATTTTCCATCCTTATGGAGCTTATGTATACTTAAGGATATATGGCAGAAAAAAATAAAAATAAAAGCAAGTAGCCGAAACTGGTTTGGTTCAGTGGATAGAGTGTTGGCCTGCGGACTGAAGGGTCCCAGGTTCAATTCCGGTCAAGGGCATGTGCCTTGGTTGCGGGCACATCCCCAGTGGGAGTGGGGGAGTGCAAAACGCAGCTGATCGATGATTCTCTCTCATCAATGTTTCTAGCTCTCTATCCCTCTCTTCCTCTCTGTGAAAAATTAATAAAATATATATTAAAAAAATAATAGCAAGCATAAGAGCTATAAATAAAGATGAATAAGAGGAATGAGGGAACGAGGGGTACTCTTTAGTGAAGCCTCTCCAAGGACGTGCTTTTATTTATTTATTTATTTTTATTTTTATAATTAGGAAGTTGGTTTATTACTTTGTTTAGAAAATTGAAAAATTTAAATTGTCTCAATCTACATTTTCAGATCCTCCTCACCCAAAGGCCCACCAACAACCCACAAAATACCAAAAAGGTCAGAAGGATGAAGGCACCATCATGGAGGGTCTGAAAAATGTGGGTTCCCATTGAGCCAAGAGGAGCAGGAGCTGGTATGTGGGAGCCTTGAGCCTTTTGAAGCAAATTCAGCTTCCTTCCTCTCCTCCTAAAGAGGGATGTGGATAGCAGGAAAAACAGACTCTAGGGAATCCTGTGTGTGTGTGTGTACTGCCAATAGCAGGAGAAGGCAGGTTGTCTTTGGGTCTTGAACTCCAACTGAGACTCAAGGAGGTGCTTTCAAAGGACCTTCGCCAGCAGTAAGCTCAACGAGGTTGTAATTTCTCCTACCTCAGAGCAAAAGTTTTTATTTTTTAAATACGTGTGAACCTATATTGCTGCATGTTTTTCTAAAATGAATTATTATTGATTTCAGAGAGGAAGGGAGAGGGGAGAAGCATCAATGATGAGAGAGGATCATTGATTGGCTGCCTCCTGCACACCCCTCACCGGGCATCAAGTTGGCAACCTGGAGGTGTGTGCCCTTACCTGGAATCCAACCTGGGACTCCTCGGTCCGCAGGCTGCCGCTTTCTGTCCACTGAGCCAAACCGGCCAGGGCAAAAGTTATGTGTTATTAATACCTGTATTGGCCCAGCCTCTATAAATAAAGATATGATCAAAAGCTGCTATTACATTAATAACTACTGAGTGTTGGCTACTTGTTTAATGACTGAACAAAATCATTGCCTAGCCAAAATCGGTTTGGCTCAGTGGATGGAGTGTTGGCCTGCAGACTCAAGGGTCCCCGGTTTGATTCTGGTCAAGGGCATGTACCATGGTTGCGGGCACATCCCAGTGGGGGATGTGCAAGAGGCAGTTGATCGATGTTTCTCTCTCATCGATGTTTCTAACTCTCTATCCCTCTCTCTTCCTCTCTGTAAAAAAATCAATAAGATATATATTTTTAAAAATCATGGCCTATCCATTCATTCCCTTTTCAGTCTGAGTGTACTGCTGGATATGTGGCAGATCCCTCCCTTGTCAAGGCATCCACAGGCCAAGGGGGCATGACTGCCTCACAGATGATTAGAAACTTGTAACAAAAGCCCTTAGGAATCCTACCCTCGTGCACAGTCGCAAAATGAAAGGGGGCGGGGGAAAAAAGTGGTCTGACAACGGGACCCAATATTTGAAAAATTAAAACTCCAAACCTGCTTTTTTGGCAGGCGCTAAAGCCCAGGCCAGGAGGGTGTACTTTTGAACCTCTCCGTGCGGGGCTGGCGGTAACAACCCGCACAGCAGCACGCCCTCCGTCCAGCCGGCACGGTGGAGGGTTCGAGAATACACTCCTGGTGCCAACCTGTTCGCTCCTTCTCCCACAAAACCAGGAAGCCTCGCAACAAACAGTGATGGAAGCCGGGCACGAGGAGCTGACCCTGCAGCGGGCTGGCCCTGCGATGCATGGGAACCCTACAAGGCTTGGGGATAGAAGCCAGTCTTCTCTTCCGGGAGGGAGGAGAGTTTAGGGAGCGTCTGGGGCCCAGGAAGGAGGAGTGGGAACGGGATCGTCGGGCTGACAGCGCCTCGCAGAGGAAGGAGGGCGCAGCGCTCCCCGAGGACCAGCCGGGTGGGAGGCGGGGCCGGCAGGACCCGCGAGGCGCCCGCCGCGCTCCCGCTCCCGCTCCCGTCCGACCGATCGGTCATGGAGGCGCCGCGGGCACAGACCGCGGGGGGGGGGGGAACACCTTCCCAATCCGCACTGCCCCCTGCTCCCCCCAAGCGGGGCCTGGGAGCCTGGGCGCGGGGCCGGGCCGAGGGCCGGCGGCGGAGCCCGGGCGGCGGCGGCAGGGAGGCCGCGCACTTACCCGGGACCGGAGAGCGCGGGCGCGCGGCGGGCCGCACGGCGGCGAGAGGGCGGGCGCGCCGCTCCGGGCGCAGCAGGGCAGCCGCGGCGAGAGTCCCTCGGAGGAGCCAGCGGCAGGGGCGGCCAGACATAAACACCCCCTTAGCCGCGCCGGGGGCCGCAGAGCTCGGCTGGACTAGCCCCGCGGCGACCCGGCTCGTCCACGTGCGGCGCAGGGACGCGCCGCTCCCGCCGGCCCCGCCCCCGGGGCGGAGCCCGTCGCCGCCGCCGCCCCGCCCACCGCCGGGAGCCGGGGCGGCCCCGCCGCCGCGCGCCCCCAGCGGCCGTCCCCGGGGCTGCAGCTGCGCTCCTTGGCCTCTTTTACCAGCTACGATGTGCGTGGCCCATTCACTCCAGGAGCTGCCCAGGCGGTGGCTCCTGGCCTGTGCCGAGGACTAGAAGTGATTTTACCAAGGAGTCCTCTTTAGGTGACGTCTAAGTCAGCAATTGCCGTGGGGATGTCAGTTGCATGTTAATGCCATGTCAGTTGCATGTTAATGGCCCCCCCTTTTTTTTTTGTAGCCTTCCACCACGCAGTGAACGTAATAACGAATAGAGAGTCACATGAGGATCCGTATAGTTCTTTTATATAATTCCTTCGAATGCAACGGATCCAAGAGCACCATTTTCCCACGTCTTCCATGCTCGATACCTGCGTGCTAGAAAGCTCCCCTTCCAAATCACGATCACAGTAAGTGTGTGCTCTTTGTAAAGCCAAGTTACATCCATTACCCTGCCCATGTTCTTCAAGGAGCACGTGCTCCCCCCCCAGCCCCCCTTCATGACTCTCTGGCACCACCACACATCTTGTTTCTGAAGTTGTCAAACCCCTGGGGCCTCCACCTACTTCTAGCTACCAGGTAACCCCTGTTCCTTCTCCCTAGCAAAGGGCAGGTTTGGGGCGGGCTCTGCATGGGGTAAAAGTGCATATTAGACGCTGGGTTCTTGTCCTCCCGTCAAACTCCCAGGACATCTGGGGTAAGTTGCATCAGATCAACCTTAAAGGATCCAAAGATAATGACAGTGGAAAGGCTCCAACCAAACAGCCCGACCGAATTACATTAGAGTCAGTCATTAACCTCCCTCCCCCTTCCCCACACACACTCTCAGAACATCTGAGATATCATTTAAAACGCGCATCGAAATGACCCATATTGAGCCCCAGCCCGTTTGCCTCGGTGGATAGAGCGTCAGCCTGTGGACTGAAGGGTCCCAGTTCGATGCCGGGCAAGGGTATGTACATCCCCAGAAGGAGGTGTGCAGGAGGCAGCTGATTGATGTTTTCTCTCTCATAGATATTTCTAACTCTATTCCTCTATGTAAAAAAAAAAAAAAAACTAATAAAATAAAATAAATAAAATATATTAAAAAAAAGAAAAAGAAGAAGAAATGATCCATAGGGAATGCATGGTGTGGAGGAGCGGGTACTTCCAAGCTCCAGCAGGAAGGGCCCAGCGTGGTGGAGGAGGACTGGCCCCCTTTCTCCCGAGAGCCTCCGGGCGGGGCCCGCGTCCTCAGCGGCGGCGGGGCGCCCTGCCGGCAGGGGGCGCGCGCACGCGGGCCGCGGCTGCGCGGCAGGCCTCTCTGGGAGAGGAGGAAGCGACCAGCGAGACGGAGGACGTGGCCCCCGACGCCGGCCCCGCAGTGTCCGAGCGGAGCTGGTGGCCCCGGCGGGCGGCCGCGCTCACCGCCACGCTGGCGGCGCTCGGAGCCGAGGACGCGCGCGAAGGCGGGATGCTCCCGGCCGGCCATCCCGGCGAGGGGCCGGCGACCCCGGTGAGGCGGCGCTGGGGCCCGGGGCGGGAGCGGGCACAGCCCCGGCCAGGGGAGATGGTGGCGGGGAGGTGGCCCTGGCCGCCGGCGGAGGACGTGGTTCGCGTGGCCCGGGGAGCTGGCTCAGGCACAGACTCCGGGGAGGGAGCCCCGGAGCGGGAGCTGTGGCCGTCCCGGGGAGATGGCACATCCTCCTGGGGAGGTGACAGTGGCGGCCTCGGGGTGGTGGTGGTGGTGGTTTTTTTGTTGTTGTTTGTGTGTTTTTTTAAAAAATATATACTTTATTGATTTTTTAGAGAGAAGGAGAGAGGGATAGAGAGCTAGAAACGTCGATGAGAGAGAAACATCGACCAGCTGCCTCCTGCACACCCCCTACCGGGGATGTGCCCGCAACCAATGTACATGCCCTTGACCTGGGACCCTTCAGTCCGCAGACCGACGCTCTACCACTGAGCCAAACCGGTTTCAGCTTTGCTTGTTTTTTTGTTTTTTTTTTGAACCTGCATCGGATGGCCCTGACCGCTCAGGAAGGCCCCCGGGGTCTGGGACCTCGCAGCCCTCCTGGGGATGGATGCCCTCTGGGAACCTCCTGTGAGTTCCATTTATCACTCCCCTCCTAATGTGTCTGTCACACCTGTTCTCCTTCCAGGGCTGCTCTGAAAGTGGGGATGAGAGGAAGACCGTGGAGGAGAAAAGTAAGCAGACTTCATACACCTTAGCACTGTCCACTGAGCCATCTCTCCACACTCAGCCCTCGGGGGTCTGCCTCCCAGAGGGGGCTGTTAGATGAAGCGGTGGTTTTGTGTGTTTTCTGTACAGTATGCGTGCATAATATTAAATGCTGATTATAATTATACACATATTTTTGTCTTTCTAAAATTGTAAAATATGGGGTGACCCCTACCTAGTGTAGGGACTTGTGTGGTTTCCCTGGAGTTCTGCCCATCATACTGGGTTCCTATAATTGTGGCCTGCCTGTTAGTTTAATTAAGCACCAACTTACTGGAGCATCAGGAATTGGGAAGGGCTAGTGATCTAGGAGAGATGACCAACACCTTAATTGGGTTCAAAGAAATCAAGTGATAATTGTTTAATAAGACTTGGCCAGTGGATTTGCCCTTAAAAATTGATCTGAACCCTAGGCAGTTTGGCTCAGTGGATAGAGTGTTGGCCTGTGGACTGAAGGGTCCCGGGTTCAATTCCCATCCATAGCATATGCCTGGGTTGCAGGCTCAGTCCCCAGAAGGAGGCAAGCAGAAGGCAGCCATTGATGTTTCTACCTCTCCTTTTCCCTTCCTCTCTGAAATCAATAAAAATTTACTTAAAAATTTTTGATCTGAGCCCTTGTCCGTTTGGTTTAGTGTCAGTTTGGGGTTCAAAGGTGCTGGGTTCTTTTTTTTTTCTTTTTAAATATGTTTTATTGATTTTGTACAGAGAGGAAGGGAGAGAGATAGAGAGCTAGAAACATCGATGAGAGAGAGTCATCGATCAGCTGCCTCCTGCACAACCCCCGGTACATGCCCTTGACCGGAATCGAACCCGGGTCCCTTCAGTCCCCAAGCCGACGCTCTATCCATTGAGCCAGACTGGTTTCGGCCTATTTTTTTTTAAAATATATTTTATTGATATTTTACAGAGAGGAGGAAGGGAGAGAGATAGAGAGCTAGAAACGCCAATGAGAGAGAAACATCGACCAGCTGCTTCTTGCACACCCCCTATTGGGGATGTGCCCGCAACTAATGTACATGCCCTTGATCGGAATCAAACCTGGGACCTTTCAGTCCGCAGACCAATGCTCTACCACTGAGCCAAACCGGTTTCGACCTGGGTTCTATTTTGGTCAAGGGCGCATATGTTGGTTGCAGGGTCCTCCTCAGCCTGGGCCCTGGTCCAGATGCTTGCAGAAGGAAATCAATCAATGTGTTTCTCTCACATCAGTGTTTCTTTCCGTCTTTCCCTATCTCTCCCACTCTCCCTTAAAAAAAAAAAAAATCAATGGAAAAATATCCTTGGGTTAGGAAAACATTGATCTGAGAAGAACACAGTGGATAACTTGGTTCTTGGATCTTGGACTGGACCAGGAAGAGGGAAAGGTTAATACCTCCATCTCCTACTAAGCACAGGAGTGTATGTCAGGGATGGGGACATTTGCCATTTTATTTAACTCATTGCTCAGCAGGCTTTTGGAAATCAAGAAATCTTGAGGGGCTTTTGAAGTGGAATTTTTGGGGGAAGAAAGGAAAGGCATGTAACAGCCATTCTGTCAGAGGGTTTTTGGTTTTTCTGATCATGGCAAATGGTCTGGGAATGAGAGGTAAGAGAAAGGGTGCCCATGTTACCATATCAGCTTTAGGAGCTAGGCTTTCCCTTTACTCTGATAAAATCTGCATCAGAAAGAAAGCTTTAAGAACTCCGTAACACTTGACATATCAGAACGGTCACAGCTCAGCTCCTTTCCTAAAGGATTTTTGAGTACCCCATTTCTTTCAGTTAAACCCTCCCCTTTTCCACCTTTGCCCCATTCACATGCCTGGGAGTCGATGCCTGTTGAGCTGTTATGTTAATAAAATGATAGACACAGACTGTGGACTTTATCCTTGTTCCTCCATTGGCTTGGGCAACTGCTTTGCAATTAGGAGTGTTCTTTACAAAAAAAGAGAAAAGGAGAGACATAAAACTCCCCAAATCATCAATGTGTTATTTTGAAGAATGTCTTTGACTAAGAACAGTCTGTGCTCTATTTAAATGATTATAAAATATATTTTATTAAAAAGTCAATTTAAAAAAAATATATATATTTTATTGATTTTTTTTTTACAGAGAGAAGGGGAGAGGGATAGAGAGCTAGAAAGATCTATGAGAGAGAAACATCGACCAGCTGCCTCCTGCACAGCCCCCACCGGGAATGTGCCCGCAACCAAGGTACGTGCCCTTGACCGGAATCGAACCTGGAACCTTCCAGTCCGCAGGCTGATGCTGAGCCAAATTGGTTCCAGCAAAAGAGTTAAATTTTCTAAGTGAAGATAGAATTTACTCCCTAAGCTAGAGAAACCTTAGCAATCACAAATATTCCCTCTGCACCTAGCCCTGCCTGTGTCTGCAGATGTACCGCATAACTCACTTGTTTTATTTAAGATAAGTAAGAAAGAAGACATTGTGACTCCTCTATATAACAGTAGAGTGTTTTCTCTATTAATAGAAAATATCAATGTGGACCAGTCAATTCTGTTCATATTTGAAGGAAAAGAATATAAGAGTATTGGGCTGAGAGTTAGAAAACATGGGTTTTAGTCCTATTTACAAACTTTAAATGTAAGCTGGGAAAATATTATAATTTATAGATGGGAAGCTGAAGCATAGGCAGATGTAAGCTTTGCTTCTACCTGCTTGTGAGCTCCTGATTGTTAAAGCGTAAGAATCGGGTTTTCAGTTCTTTTAAGTTGAATAAAACAAAGGAAAATTTATTTTGGGGGTGTTGAGGAAAGGAACAAACTCAGTACTACACACATAGTCATATGTTTTGTTAACATTTAACACAAGTAATTAAACAATATACAATAGTTATATTTTCACTTTAGGCACATCTTTTCATATATATTTTTAAAAAATATAATTTTTATTGATTTCAGAGAGGAAGGGAGAGGGAGAGATAGAAATATCAATGATGAGAGAGGATCATTGATCGGCTGCCTCCTGCACACCCCCAGCTGGGGATCAAGCCCCCAACACCCGGTATGTGCCCTTGACCGTTATGGAACCTGGGATCCTTCAGTCCGCAGGCCGACGCTCTATCCACAGAGCCAAATCTGCTAGGGCCATCATTTTATTTTATCAGATGTGACAGTTGTTTTATATTGAGGCTGATTATCACCTCTCGGCTTTCTCTCATTACTGTGTCCTTAAAACTTTGTTTTTCGTAAAGAGCCAAGTTGTACAAGGACAGCTCCAAGGAATAACAGGTGAAAGAGGTGAAGTCCAACCAGTCCTGCTCCCCAGGAGGCTGTTTGTCTCCCAACTTTATTTCTCATGCCACACACTTTTTTATTTATTTAAAGAAATTCTTATAGTTCTTGTTTCTAAATATATGCTAATTCAACCAACTATTCAATTTGTTCATTAACTCACCATGAGTGGCTTGTTTCGAGAGGACCAAATCCTTCAGGCAAACCTGCAGTAAAAATTCCAATGCTTGGTTTCCATGAAGTCACTCACTCTCGCCTTCTCTGGGGCCTTATTTTATAGTACTTATTTTCATTTGGAGATCAGTCTACATTTTTACATCATCTTGCTTTTGTTTTCATTTTTAATTCCTAGGTACTACTCAAATCTAGGGAGATTAAGCCCTGTATATGGAATAATTCAAGTTGTGGACTGAGTGTAGTTGAGCATGGTTAATATCAGGGAATTTAATGAGTGCACAGTGAAGTGGAGTTACCATTATACCAATCTTGACCCAAAATTCAGGTTCTGTAAACTTCTCCAGGAAGAAGCAAATCATAAATAACCGAAAGGGGAGAGCTTATGGAAGCAGATACTTCAAAGGGAAATCATTTATCTTAGCACACTGGGGTGGAGTGGAAGGAGCAAGATATGACAGCCAACTGTGGGTCATGTCACTGCTACCTTCTTTGCTAAGAAGGTGCTGTGAGCCTTCAGGTTTCTCGGGTACAGGGCACGTTCAGAAATCCACCCTGGCATAGATGATCAGCAACGGTGTAGCTAGAGATACTCTGGGAAAGAGGAGCAGTGCTGTTAGTCCATAAGCTTAGGTCAGTGGAAAATAATTCCTTTGCAATGGAATATGTTTCTAGAAAATTTTTTTAATATTTATATTTTATTGATTTTTTACAGAGAAGAAGGGAGAGGGATAGAGAGTCAGAAGCATCGATGAGAGAGAAACATCAATCAGCTGCCTCCTGCACACCCACTACTGGGGATGTGCCTGCAACCAAGTTACATGCCCTTGACCAGAATTGAACCTGGGACCCTTCAGTCTACAGGCTGACGCTCTATCCACTGAGCCAAACCGGTTAGGGCGAAATTTGTTTTCTTAAGTGTTTTGTTTAAGTAAAAATAGCACATTATTATAAGCCGTGGACTCTGGGAAATATCACATACTAAATGGGATGAGAGCAATGCTGTCAAAAGCTAGTCAGTGTTGCCTGTGCTACCACTCTTCTCTAAAAAACTAGTAGCCCTGCACACAAATCCGTGCACCAGTAGCTCTCTGTGGGGCCTGGCTGCTCTGTGCTCAGAGGCTCTCCACAGCCCAGAGGTCCATCCGTGGCCAGGCGTGGAATGCTTACCTCGCTGCCAGGGCGATGACACAGCATTCCCCCTCACCCCCCACTCCATGCCCGCTGCCCAGAGGCCCGCTGTGGCCGGGGCAGAACCCCTGCCTGGTTGCCATGGTGACAAAGCAAGCAGGAGTAGGGAACTCCAGCAGGGCTGAGAGGACTGGACGCCACCATCTTGTGGCTATGGGTACCACCATATTTGTAATGGAGTGACAGTTAATTTGCATATTACCCTTTTATTAGATAGGATAGCTTCCAGAGCACCTGTTTTTGTCATTTAATAAGGCCCCAGTGGCTCAGTTGGTTGAGTGTTGTCCTATGCACCGAAAGATTGCCGATTTGATTCCTGGTGAGGCCACATACCTGGGTTGCAGGTTTGATTCCTGTTCTGGGCATATATGGAAGGCAACGGGTCAATGTTTCCCTCTCAAATTGATGCTTCTCTTTCTCCCTCCATCCTTCCTCCCTCTATGTCCTTGGGTGAGGATTAAAAAATAGTAAGTCCAGTGTGAATTAGTCCAAGACTAGTTTATTTGCCATGGATAGAATCTCACTTTGGACTGTACACTCAGTGGATACATCAGCCATTTTATTTTCCCTCGTAATTTGTGTTTTCTCTCCGATTTCCTTTTTACATTTTTTTTTCTGTTTCTGACATGAATATCTTCATACAATGACATTTAAAGGTTTTAAAACTTTTTTACTCTTACATAAGGAGGAATTTTGTCACTCAAATTTTTTTCATATACTTGAAATCTTTTACTACTATTTTTTTCTTGTTGTAACATCTTGGAAACAGAGTTCTACCATCTGATTCCTTACAGATTTTGAAAATATATTACAAATTTAATAAACACTGCACCAATAAAATCAGATTTGACCTTTTCCCCCCAGTAATAAAATAGGTTATTAAGAAGTAAAGTCTCCTAGAAAACTTCAATATATGTTTGTAGCTGCACTAATATGCCAACATCTATTGAAACCTGTGTTTATTAGGACTTTAGGAATTTCTCATTCACTCGGAGAAATTTTTTTAGCTCTTATGCATTTTGTAATACTTGATCCATAGATTGCTTTATAGTTATTTATTTGGGTATTTCTGTGTATGATAAACATACAAATTATATATAGATGTATACACAAAAATATCCAAATGAATATATATATATATATATATATATATATATATATAGTGTACATATGCATATACATGTACACTGAGTGGCCAGATTATTATGATCTCTGAATACATAATAATCTGGCCACTCAGGGTGGGGCCTGGCCAGGGGGAGGGTACATGGGTGGTTGGCTGGCCTGCTTCCTGGTTGAGGGGACAATTTGCATATTAGCCTATTATTATATAGAATATTTGGATATAAACTTTTTGTGTGTGTATATAATATATAATTTACTGTATGTAGATAGTTTTCTTTAATAACTTTTGAAAGTAGGTATAGTGCCTTGTATATTTTTGTATTTCCTTTAACTCTATAGTATTTAGTGGTATTGATTAATTGCTTTTCTTTCATTTTAGGTGACTTAAATATTGCAGCTCTTGTTGGAAATGAACAAGTCAGTGAAGTTACAGATAATGGAGATCTCTCTTCCTATGTGTCTGCATTTATAGAAAAGGAAGTTGGAAATGACCTTAAATCTTTAAAGAAGCTTGATAAACTCATAGAACAGATGACAGAAAATAAAGTGCAGTTAGAGGAACAGGCAAGTATTAAAACTCACAGAAATAATATTAGTAATATACTCATAATTAATATAAACATGACCATTATTATATAGTTAATATGAATATGCAAGCTTATATATAGTTGAAATACGTATAGCTTAATATTTTATGATTAATACTTGAGGCCATCCTATTAATATAAATCTATCTTTTTAAATGGCTTTATGACATTTAGGTATGTTTTTACATACACCATTTATTTAACCAGGCCATTATTGGTGGACATTTTTGCTGTTCTGTTTTTATTATTACAAATTATATGAGAGTAAACATAATTGTTCATCACTTCACCTTTCTAAGTCATAAATCTAATTGAATTATTTCCTTATTAAAAACTTTTTTAAAAATATATTTTATTGATTTTTTACAGAGAAGAAGGGAGAGGGATAGAGAGTTAGAAACATCGATGAGAGAGAAACATCAATCAGCTGCCTCTTGCACCCCTCCCACCGGGAGGTACATGCCCTTGACCGGAATCGAACCTGAGACCCTTTAGTCTGCAGGCTGACGCTCTATCCACTGAGCCAAACCGGTTTCAGCCTTATTAAAAACTCTTATTGGAAAAAGCCCACATTATCCAGAGGCACAAGATGCTATCCTATGACCTGGTCTCTCTACCTATTTAGGCTCATCTTTTCTGTGTTTCTCACATGAGTGTTTCTTTCCCTCCTACCTCTCTCTAAGCATGTCCTTGGGTGAGGATAGTTTCTTTGAACTGTATTCTGTGCCCTAGTCATATTTTTGCTGACTGAGCTGTTCCTCTGCCTGGAATGCCCTTATCTTCCATAGTTCCCTAAAAAGTTCCTACCACTTCTATAAAAGTCTGTGTATGAACCATGCAAGCACAATTGCCTTGTACTTCAAAACCTTGCTACTCAAAGTGTGGAGCTCAGTCCCTGCTTCAGACCTACTGAGTCTGACTAGGCCTTGTAACAAGATTTCTGGGTAATTCTTCTTGTACGTTCAGGTTGGGAAGCATTATCTTAGGACATAATTGCACCTAGCATCTCCTTTATTTCATCAACGCACTGTTGAAATATTTGCTTACATTTTCTTCCATACCAACTGAGCTTTAATGGCAGATGCTGTTTCTTATTTATGTTTATCCCTAGCCTGGTACAGAGTATCCAATCAGTGTTGATTAAATTAAAATTATTCTATAATTTTTTTATATTGTACTGATGCCTAATATTTATATATGTTATTCCATATATAATATTTATATATGTTATTCCAAAGTACTCTCTGAAAGTACTGAGCTTCATGAAAGCAGATCCATACATGCTTACAAGGGAGTCCTTGTGATGTACCTCTCTCTACTTAGGTTTGGTTGATAAGGATGCAGAAATCATATCTTTCATTTGGAGCTTTTAATTGATAATTTTCAATTCTATTGGAACAAACATGTATTTTAAAGATAATGAACGAATAAAAAAGGCTATGCAAATTTTTCTGATGGCTGCTATTTTTTGTTTTTGGTATAATTAGGTACTTACAATTTCATCAGAAATCCCTAAAAGAATTCAGAATGCCTTAAAAAATGCAGAAGAATCAAAGAAATTTCTTAATCAGTTTCTGGATCAAGAGACTCAGCTTGTCAGTTCCATTAATAGCCATTTGCTGACTGCACAGCCCTGGATGGAAGATCTTGGGGCCAAGATTAGCCAAATTGAAGAGATAGAACGGCATCTCGCTTACCTTAAATGGATTTCACAAATTGAAGAACTAAGGTAAAATGGGTTTCTTTGTTCTCATAATTATTATTTCCCTTTGAGGCTCTTAGAGATTGCATGCATGCCATTAAATAATTGAGTTAATTAAAGATTATAATAATGTAATTTTACCAGTTGTTATTAAAGTAGCATTATGATAATGATTCTTTTCCTTTATTGTGAATGAATATAAACTTTTCAGGGAGCTTAATTTGCATTTGAAAGAAAGTAATCAAATTAAAAAATTTAAGTCTTATAGTTGTATTTGAACACATGATAAAAACCACTTTTTATAATGCCAGTTTAATAACATATTCCCTCGGTGTGATAATAATCCTTTTTTTTCGTTTTAGAGATGGTCACTTAATGACATAGATTACTTTCACTATAATTTGAATTTTTTCCAGTGGGCATTATCTAATAAGAGCCACAAGTGATCTTAGATGAATAAGAGTTTACTTTTTTCCCCTAGCATAGTTACTTCTCTTTTTAATAACGTCGATTTTCCTGTAGGTCTTTTGTGATACATCTCTATTTCTAGCTCTCTTTTTTAATTGAATATATATCACTGGTTGATTGTATCAGTATTACCTCTCAATTAAGCTAAGTTAACATTTCTACCTAGGTTGGCAGATTATTTGTTTTTTTGATATAGTCCCCAGCCCCTCTTCACTGTACAATTTCATTTTTGCTTTGTTTTAACTATTCTTCCCTCAAAGCTGTCAGTAACCATTAAGGGAAAAAAGTCATCCAAGTGTCTTGATGTCTCATTTTAAATGTATCATCCTATATAATAATCCCTATATAGTAAAAGGATAATATGCAAATTGACCAAAAGACAAAACGACTAGTTGCTATGACATGCACTGACCAACAGGGGGCAGACACTCAACAGAGGAGTGTCCCCGGGTGGTCAGTCCACTTCCACAGGGGGAGTGCCACTCAGCCAGAAGCTGGCTCATAGCCGGCGAGTTCAGCAGCGGTGGTGGGAATCTCTCCTGCCTCTCTGGCAATGCTAAGGATGTCCTAAGGGGAGTGGGCCTAAGCCGGCAGTCGGACTTACCCTGAGGGGTCCCAGACTGCAAGAGTGCTGGGCTGAGGGAATTTCATGCACTGGGTCTCTAGTACTTTATATATTTTATGTATTTCTTCTAAAGAGTACCAGTAATACTGTATCACTTTGTCCTGCATATGTTTTCTGAGATTTTAAATAATTTTTTAAAAAAATATATTTTTATTGATTTTTTACAGAGAGGAAGGGAGAGAGAGAGAGTTAGAAACATCCATGAGAGAGAATTATCGATCAGCTGCCTCTTGCACAGTCCCCACTGGGGATGTACCTGCAACAAGGGTACATGCCCTTGACTGAATCGAACCTGGGATCTTTCAGTCCGCAGGCCGACGCTCTATCCACTGAGCCAAACCGGTGTTGGCAATTTTATTTATTTTTATTTTATTTTAATTTTTAAAAATATATTTTATTGATTTTACACAGAGAGGAATTGAGAGGGATAGAGAGCTAGAAACATCAATGAGAGAGAAACATCGACCAGCTGCCTCTTGCACATCCCCCACTGGGGATGTGCCCACAACGAAAGTACGTGCCCTTGACCCGAATCGAACCCGGGACCTTTCAGTCTGCAGTCCGACGCTCTATCCACTGAGCCAAACCGGTTTCTGCTAATTTTAAATAATTTTACTATCAGTACAATACAAAAGTCTTTGCATACATGTTTTACCTTTACAGAAAAAGTGATATGCCTAAGATTGTAGCATTATTAGAAATTCCAGAAGTTGACGTAAGCTTTTTAGAGTGTCTCTTTATTTAAATTCTTTACAGTGAAAGAATTTTAAACCTTGCTTTAGTTTACTTTTTTTTCCTTTCCCTCTGAAAGAAAATACTACAAGGGATAATATTAATAACCTTATTAAGTTATTGTAATAAATTCTAACCTTATTAGGTAAAAGCTTCAGTCTTGTAGTAGCCAAAACAATAAGTTAATTAAAGTAGGGCCATGGTTATGGGTAGCCTTTTTCTGGTGTTGAAATTGTTTAAAAGAAAACATGTCCAGGGAGTTACATTAGAAATAGGAATCAAATTCATAATCAAGTTGAGCAGTTAAGACTTCTTTTAATAACATGTTTTTTCCTATAGGTTTTTTGTGATGCATCTCTATTTCTAGCTTTCTTTTGGGCTCCTGAGACTTTCCTTATCTCTTGATTTCCCTTTAACGACTATTTTTATTCTGTAGCGCTTTCTTTTTAAAAAAAGTAGTTTCTTCTTTTTAGAAGTAGCATCTTTACATTTAACCCTGTTTCTTGAATACTACAGTTCAACAGTATCACTCTGAATGAACCCTATAACCCTGGCTTTTCCTATGCTCTGAATGTCATTCATGCTTCATGAGATCTAATCCAGGTCGGTACTCCTGTATTCTGTGGTTATTTGTACATTTAAAAATTTCTTTTATAACATATAGACATTTCTTTAACATGGTAGTTTTTGTTTTAACATAATGCAACACTTAGTTTGGATTTATGTCTTCAAAGTGGGAAATTGGTGAGATTTGTCACAATGCATAGGGAAGAACCTCATACAGCAGTTAATTGGACATGCTAACTGTCAGAACAAGAGCAACTACCAGCATCATTTTTTTTTGTTTGTTGTTGTTGTTATTTCTCACCCAAGGATATTTTTCTATGATTTTTAGGAAGAGTGGAAAAGAGAGAGAAACATTGATGTGAGGTAAATACAGCGACTGGTTGCCTCCTGCATGAGCTCTGACCAGGGCCTTGGCCTGGGAGGAGCCTGCAACCAAGATAGGTGCCCTTGACTGAAATTGAACTCGGGACCTTTTGGTCTGCAGGCCAATGCTCTATCCACTGAGCCAAACCGCATCTTAATTACAGAAATGGTGGATTTGTTGATGCCCAATGAGGGGGGGAAAAGAGTATTTTAAATTCTGAGAGTAACTATAAGAGACAAGATCTGTTGGAAAATTTAATAAAAAATATTAGTAAGGGAGAAGAAAGAAAAGAGAGAGAATGAGTGTGGGGGATGGCTAAAAGGGCTGGCAGAATAATAAAACATGAGCTTAGTATTCTTATTGAGGCCTGGAACAGTGACAGTGGGAGCCTCAAGCAGCTCCTGAAGAAAGGAGAGGAACATACTAGTGCAGGTGGAGCTGGCAGGGTGTGCTACATCTTTCCCTTTGTGAGGAGGCATGTGTCCACCCCAGGAACATGACTGGCCGCACACCCAGCCGGGAGGAGAGTCCCGCACATAGTCATCTTCCAGCGCATGGCCAGGCGCCCAGGGAGGATGAGCATGGGCTGCCTAGTGGAGAACTCACTTCAGGTTTCCTGCAGGGGTGACCCCAGAACTGAGATTCATTACTGAAAAAGTTAATTTTATTCCTTATTCTTAGATGACCTTAAAGGTATGGAATATATTATTTTTATAAAAAGAAACAATTCATTTTAAAATAAAATGTTTTGTTTTATAGAACCCAAATGGTAGCTCATAGGCTGAATTTGTCCTAAAGATATGTTGAATTTGGCTTGTTTTAAACAATTTGAATAACTGGTTTGCTTTTACATGAAAATCTTTCTTTTTTTTAAATTCCTCTCCTGAGGATATGGTTTGGGTTTGTTTGTTTGTTTGTTTGTTTGTTTGCTTTTAATGTATTTTAGAGGAGGGGGAATGGGGGGAGCAGCCAGGGGATCAAACCTCTAACTTATATATGAGCCCTGATCAAGAATGGAACCTGAAACTTCGTGTTATATGGGACAGTGCTCCAACCAACTGAGCCATCTGGCAGGAGCTTACGTGAAAATACTGTTAATTTTCCTTTCTACAAAAATTTTAAGATTTGGTCACATTAGAACCACACTTTAGTGTTGCAACAATTGGCTGGAGTCTTAGGATACTCTATTACCCACCCACTTTGCTCTTTTAAATTTACTTTCCCTATTCGGTCTTTGTAAACATTTGAATTTGCAACCCTTGCTGTGGAGCTTACTTTAAATTTTATTGATTTTTTTTATAGAGAGGAAGAGAGAGGGATAGAGAGTTACAAACATTGATGAGAGAGAATCATCGATCAGCTGCCTCTTGCACATCCCCTACTGGGGATGTGCCGCAACCAAGGTACATGCCCCTGACCGGAATCGAACCCGGGACCCTTCAGTCCGCAGGCCGATGCTCTATCCACTGAGCCAAACCGGTTTCGGCCTTACCATAAATTTTATCTTGAACTTTACTAGCGAATTTGAAAGTCTGGGCTCTAAGGTGTCTAAAATTCAGTTCTTCATAATCAAATTCAACTGGGCAAAGTAGGTAAAGATTGAAGACTACTGTATTTGGCCTTACCAGATGCCACCCACATTATTCCCTTGGATTAAGAAACTAAAGACTACAAAAAAAAAATAATAATAAAATAAAGACTTTTGTAAAAGGCAGATTTATCAGAAATGAGCAGTGCCTGAGGGAATGTGACCAGGACAAATGTGTTCCTTGGAGGAGTGGGAAGGGAAAGGTGTAGGGAGTGTCTTGACCTTGGGCAACTGTTCTTAGAAGGGTGTGAATTTGAAGACTAGGTTCCCAGAGAAATGGGCATCAGGTAAAAACGCCACTTCTGTGTGGTGCTTCTTTCTTCCTTGGATTAATTTTATATAAAGCAGGAGGGAGAAGCAGTTTTTCTGCTTTGGAATTATTTTGAACTGCCTTTAAAGTTTGCTTTGCCTTGTTTTTCAGTGATAACATTCAGCAGTATCTGATGACCAACAATGTCCCTGAGGCAGCCTCTACTCTGGTGTCTATGGCAGAACTTGACATCAAGCTTCAGGAATCATCCTGTACGCATCTTCTGGGTTTCATGAGAGCCACTGTTAAATTCTGGCATAAAATTCTCAAGGACAGGCTTACAAGGTAAGGAATTTACTCATATTTTATGGTAATTACTTTCAGATAGATATTTGGTGATCGCTGGATTTTATTGAAATATGTATATTACTTTTCTGTTACAGTGATTTTGAGGAAATTTTAGCACAGCTTCATTGGCCGTTCATCGCACCCCCTCAGTCTCAAACTGTTGGCTTAAGTCGACCAGCCAGTGCTCCTGAGATATATAGTAACCTGGAGACACTATTTTGTCAGCTTCTGAAACTACAAACCTCGTATCTTTGTTGGAGTTAAAACTTACTAAAATTTATTTTTCTATGGTAGATTTGTGACTAGAGAGTAAAACTTTTTCAAAGTGGCCAAAAGCCAAATGGGACTGGTTTGGACTTGATCTGTATAAGCTCACAGAGTAGTAGATTGTTTTCTTTCATAGTGAACTGCATGTGGGTGGGAGGGCAAGGGTCAGCCTAAAATACGTAACTGACCCAAGTTTGACTCACATATTCTCTTGGGACAGTAGTTAAAAATGGGTAATTGGGAGGAAACCTATTATTAACTTAGTGTTAATTTAATAAAATGATTATTTGAATGTGGTTTTTTTTTTTTTTTAACTATTTTTTATTTTAAGAAAGACATTAATTCTAATAACATTTTTCATGCATTTTCTAACTAATGTATAGGAAGATTACATATTATCAGTATTGTAATTTTTACTTAGTATCTTATATCTTTGTTGGAAAAATGTATGTGTGCATATACACACATACACATGTGCTTTTGATTGTTTTCCCTTGACTTGACTATGTCAGAGATGAATTACTCACCGAGCCAAAACAACTTCCAGAAAAATACTCCCTTCCTGCATCCTCTTCTGTCATCCTGCCCATCCAGATTATGCTGACTCCCCTACAGAAGAGGTTCAGGTATCACTTCAGAGGGAACCGACAGACTAATGTTATAAGCAAGGTGTGCTTTGCCAACTCTTGTCCTTGGTTTTTATTAATAGCAAATGTTAAGGGTTTCTATACTTTTCCTGGTTTAAGTTAAAATCTGATCCTATTGATATTTCTCTAAAGATGTAAATTCCTGTTTTATCACTGTCCTTTATAGATATACTAGAGGCCCAGTGCACTACATTTGTGCACTGGGGCCGGGGGGCGGCGGGGGGGGGGAGGGGGGCGCGGGTCCCTCAGCCTGGCCTGTGCCCTCTAGCAGTCTAGGACCCCTTGGCAGACATTCCCTGAGGATCTTTAGTGCTGAGGCAGAGGCAGGAGAGGCTCCTGCCATTGCCACTGGGCTTGCCAGCTGTGAGCCTGTCTTCTGGCTGAGTGGCACTCCCCCTGTGAGTGCACTGACCCCTGGTGAGCGTCTGCCCCCTGGTGGTCAGTGCACATCCTAGTGACTGGTCGTTCTGTCCTTTGGTCTATTTGCATATTAGCCTTTTATTATATAGGATTTTGGGACTTACATTGATACATTGTAGGACTCAGCTCACTCATTTTTACATCATCAGTTTCTCAAGTTTTCCCGTGGGTGTGCTGTAGCAATTGCGTGGTACTTTATACAACTGGATCCACATGTAAATTGCTCCTTCAGGTTTATAAATAAATCAGAAAGACAAGTGAAAGTCAAAAGATAGTAGAGCATTAGCTTTTGAAAAGAGGGGCTGCTGCTAAAATGACTTACAGCTGTGCAAGGGAGAGAATGGGAATAAGTGATGGCAAGGGTTTGAAGAAATTATCACCAACATTTTAGTTGAGCATATTGGTGAGATTTTTCTTTAATTTGCTTGAAAAACAATCTAAGACATTTGTTTTCAATGAAATTTGGTTAATTTATTGAGAATTATAAACTTGTGTATTGCTAGGCTATGGATCATACCTTGTTTATACTTGTGTTTTGCTACATCTAATGCAGTGCAAGCAACAAAGGTGTTTAGCAAGTGCTTTTGAATTAAATGTTATTAAATTCTAGATTACACCAGGTTTTGTATGTCATATATAAGTGAGTTTAAAGGCTTGATAGAATTGTTAAGGAGTCAAGGGGTAGGCAGTTATGCTAGCAAAGGAAGGAGCAGAGTGGCTGTGGATTTCTGGTCCTTAATTTCAGCTTGTCCTTTTGTACTTCATGGGTTTCCTCCTCTTTTGGATGGGTATTGGTAAGAGGAACAGTAGAACCAATTAGTAAGTAGTGAGACAAAGCAGTCAACCTAAAGCTATAGAGAGGTAGTAATTAGAGGTAAGAAAATTGAGTTATGTTGGTTGCTTTTTAAAGTGTGGTTCCAGTGGCCCAGGTACTCTGATATCAAGCCTAACCTACGCAGCTTCTGAAATTTGTGATTGCCTCTTACTCATTTTTGTATTCCTAACATGTAGCACACAACAGGGATTTACCATTCATTAAATGTTTAATCCCTGTCTAGCAAAACTTGGAAGGTTTATGTAATCATCTGTAGGGACAATTTAAAATGCTGCATACTAACATTTCCTATTCTATAATTATACCTGTTTTAAGGCATGTATAATTTTTGTAATGCAGACCAGCCAACTTATTTTCTTAATTTACCTTTTGAAAAGAAAAAGCAGAAAATAATGTTTAAAAATTATTTTTGGCCCTAGTTTGGTTCAGTAGATAGCTTGTCAGCTTGTGGATTGCAGGGTCCAGGTTCGATTCTGGTCAAGGGCACATGCTCCAATAAGGGGCATGCAGGAGGCAGCCAGTTAATGATTCTCTCTCATCATTGATGTTTCTATCTCTCCCTCTCCCTTCCTCTCTAAAATCAATAAAAATATATTTAAAAAAAATTATTTTGGGTCCTGGCCAGTTTTGCTTAGTGATAAGAGCATCGGCCCAAAGACCAAAGGGTCACAGGTTTGATTCCTGGTCAAGGGCATGGTAAGGGTGAGAGCAGAGGCAACCAATCAATGTGTCTCTCTCTCATCAATTTTTCTCCCCTCCCCCTCCACCTCCACCCTTTACTTCCACTTTCTCAAAAAAAAAAATTATGGAAAAAATTTCTTACTCAGGTGAGATTTAAAAAAATTATTTTGGAATGTTACTTCAAAAAAAAAAAGAATTTAAAGATCATCAGTTCTTTGGAACACTGATTTTATAAATTTGTAAATGCTAGGTTTTAAATATATATAGGATAAATTTGAGTTTATTGATGTAAGCCACATTGCTGGAATCTGTTGGGAGTACATTAGGAAACATTTGATTATTAAGCTTTGCATGAGTTTAAAATTCAGAATAGAAATTGTGCTCTTACATGTAGAAATTTTCAACTAATTTTTGTAAGTGTTGTGTGTATACAATGAAATAGAGCCATTTAATTGTAACTCTAGTTGGAATGACTACACAAGTCAAACTATTTTACCTCCTTTCCTAGCCTGAATGGTACTTGACTCAAGTGCTTATGTGGATTGGGAACCACACACAGTTTCTGGATGAGAAGATTCAGCCAATATTAGACAAAGCAGGCTCTTCAGCAAATGCAGTGGTAAGAGACTCAGTCCTAAGCATTTCAGTGTTAGAGTGTCCACGAATATCTTGTCATATATAATACCTTATGTTTGCTTATGTATTTCTTTTAGCTTGAATTTTCTCGGGGCCTTATGATGCTGGTTCTGGAGAAGCTAGCAGCTGATATTCCTTGTCTGCTCTATGATGACAATCTCTTCTGTCATTTGGTGGATGAGGTGCTGTTGTTTGAAAGGGAGCTACACAGTGTTCATGGCTATCCTGGCACTTTTGCTAATTGTATGCATATTCTATCAGAGGAAACCTGTTTTCAGAGGTGGTTAACTGTGGAGAGAAAATGTAAGTGCTCATGTAGCCATAGGGTGGGGAAAGATGTCTCTTTTTATGCATATTAATTTTTGGTGTTTTTCTCCAAGAAATTTCTTGGTCACAGTTTACCAAGTTGCCTTTAGAGATCATGTTCTTTTCTTCTCATCAAACATTGTTTTTTTCCCTGTAATTGCCCTCTCCATGTTTCTAGAGTATAATATTTAAGCCAGTAGAATATCTATACTTATAAAAGGGTAATACGCTAATTAGATTGGACATCTTCCGGACAAATTTTTTACAAAGCCATGATGGTGGGGGCCGAGGCAGAGGCAGTTAGGGGGATCAGGCTGGCAGGGGAGACCAGTTAGGGGGATCAGGTTGGCAGGGGAGTGTAGTTAAAAGGATCAGGCTGGCAGGCAGAGGTGGTTAGTGTTAGGGTCTTGGATTGGAGAAGGTGCAGGCTGGGCTGAGGTTACTCCCCCTCCCACCCCCCATGCACAAATTTTGTGCACTGGGCCTCTAGCATACATATATTTAACTGTTTTATAGATTTTCACATATAGTAGTTCTGCTCTTGGTAGAATCATTTTGGATGCAGTTTGTCTAGTCAGTATAACTATTTTGAAGATTTTGGGAAGGGTTGGCAGGGAGAAGTATCTTGTTTAACCTTAAGATAGAGCATGTTAAATACAATGCAACTATTAAGAGGCTGTTGATTTATTTTTTATAGAAAAGTCATCATTGGGGAGAAAATGGAGACATATGTACTACTATTTGTAATACTTTAAACAATAAAAAAAGTCATTATTCCTAAAAAATTGGGAGCTAAAAAATTAAAAATAAATGTAACTACTTGACATAATTCTTTTTTTGCATTATCAGTTGCTCTTCAAAAAATGGACTCAATGCTTTCATCAGAAGCTGCCTGGATATCCCAATATAAAGATATCACTGATGTGGATGAGATGAAAGTTCCAGACTGTGCAGAAACTTTTATGACGCTACTCTTAGTTATAACTGGCAAGTATAAGTCTTTTAAGATAAAACTTTGTCTTAAAAGTACTAACTCTTCCCATGATACTTTTTTCAAGTAGTTCAACAAAATTAATATTATATTGTAGTTATAAAATCTTCAAATTCAGTTCTATTTTAGCAGAACTCTGGCATAATATTCTAGGTTTCATATTTTTAATAATTTAAGTAAGATCTTAAACATTGGTATATATGAGGGGAAATCCATGAATTGTTATGTAAAAAACAAATAGGACTTGATTTTACTACCTGAATTCTCTTGCCATCTAGTTTGTGATTGACCAAAATTTTAAATATTCCAAAAACTGCAGAAAGCAAAATAAGGTAACTTTAGGGGTTAGAGTAGTAATATAAACTTTCCAATAGAGCAAGGATATTCTGGCCAGAGGGTGGCATAGAAGCCTCTAACCTGGTTGATCTGCAGCATCTGCATGGTTTCCTACAGGCCTCTGGTTCTGCAGGTTCCACCGCGTCCTCACTACCTCCATCCTCTCTGTCTTGTCCATTTCTTGGGCCTTTATGTGTAACCCGAAAAGTGTTACTCCAGCCTAGTCAGTAAATAATTTCATATCTGCAACTTAAGAAAAATATGAAATCACAAACATAAAAATTTTAGAAAAACTCAGGCTTTTTAAAAAAAATAATTCTTTATTGTTCAAAGTATTATGTATGTTCCCCTTTTTCCCCGTTGTGTCTTTAAAAAAACCCAAAACATTCTTATTGATTTTTGAGAGAAAAGAAGAAACAGAAATATCAATGATGAGAATCATTGGTTGGCTGCCTCCTGTACGCCCCTCTCTGGGGATTGGAACTTGCAACTCGGGCAACTGGGAATCGAACTGTGACCTCTTGGTTCATAGGTTGACACTCAACCACTAAGCCAAGCCATGCTCTAAAAAGAAAAACTTTACTTTTTATTACGGAAATTTTCTTTAAAAAAAAAAATGTTTTAAAAATATTTCTTTGTTGATTTTAGAGAGAAAGGAAGAAAGAGAGAGAGAGAGAAAGAGAGAGAGAGAGACAGACAGACATTGTTGTTCCACTTATTTATGCATTCTTATATGTGCCCTTACTGGGGACCGGACCAAACCTGCAACTTTGGCATATTGGGATGACATCTAACCAACTGAACTACCCAACCAGGGCAAATGGAAATTTTTTTTTTTTTTTAAATATATTTTATTGATTTTTTACAGAGAGAAAGGGAGAGAGATACAGAGTTAGAAACATCGATGAGAGAGAGTCATCGATCAGCTGCCTCTTGCACACCCCCTACTGGGGATATGCCCGCAACCAAGGTATATGCCCTTGACTGGAATCGAACCCGGGACCCTTCAGTCCCCAAGCCGACGCTCTATCCATTGAGCCAAACCGGTCCTGGCTGCAAATGGAAATTTTTAAACATACACATTTAGCATAATATAATGACCCCTCAGGTATATATTATTAAGGTTTTCTTAAATTCTCACTTTTCTATTATATATTTTTCTCCCCAACTCATTTTTTTCCTGGAGTATTTTAAAGAACATTTCAGACATATAAATTCTTATTTCACCTATAAATTCTTATGTAGGTATCTATTTAAAATATATATATATATACACATATACATATATATATGTATATGTATATGTATATATATATATATTATTGATTTTTTACAGAGAGAAAGGGAGAGAGATAGAGAGTTAGAAACATTGATGAGAGAGAAACATTAATCAGCAGCTTCCAGCACACCCCCTACTGGGGACATTTCCACAACCAATATACATGCCCTTGACCGGAATTGAACCTGGGACCCTTCAGTCCACAGGCCAACGCTCTATCCACTGAGCCAAACCAGTTAGGGCATTTAGGTATCTATCTTAAGCTATCATAGTTCCTCCTTTCTTTTAAAAAACTGTCATTTATTTGGTAAAGAAATGGAGTGCTTTTTGTATATAATTATTTCATATGTCCTTTAAAAATCAAGGCATGATTTATATATAGTGAAAAGCATAGATTTTATGTATACAGTTCAGTGAGTTTTGACAAATACATAGACTTTTGAAACCCACATCCTTAGAAAATTTAAAAAGAGATCCATACTGGAATGGGCAATTGATTTTTTACAAAGGCACCAAGGCATGTCAGTAGGGAAAACCTATAACTATATCATAAACAGTGCCAACAACCTCATATGTCTTGTTAACTTTCTCCACAGACAGGTATAAAAATCTTCCCACAGCTTCCAGAAAGCTGCAGTTCCTGGAGTTACAGAAGGACTTAGTAGATGATTTTAGGATACGACTGACTCAGGTGATGAAAGAAGAGACCAGAGCTTCCCTTGGCTTTCGATACTGTGCAATTCTTAATGCTGTGAACTATATCTCAACAGTACTAGCAGACTGGGCTGACAATGTTGTAAGTTAACGTGATTTTATATTAAATAATACATTAGTAGTGTAAATAGTTTTACCTTTTGAAATGTTGATTCTATAGCAAGCAAAAATACACATCAGGCAGAAAAACAATTAGGCCAAACTTAAAAGGTGTGATTCAAGTACATATTTTTCGAGAGAGAAACCAAGATGGCGATATAGGGTAGACACCTGAATGCAGCCTACCACAGCAATTTTGAATTTAGAACTGGAAAACGGGGGAAACTTCACCCTGAAGCACCTGACGGCTGGCTGAGAGGAGGCTCTACCATCTGGGAAGGAGAGAGAAGGCACGCTCAGCCTCAGCAACTGTGAAGGTGCGGAGAACTGTACGTGAAAAAAGGCGGCCGCCCGACTTCGCTGCTGGCTTGCTCGCAGTGCGGAGAGAGCGAGTTCGAGTTTGATGTTGGCTTACTCCAGGTGCGCAGAGAGGGCGGATAGCTAATGAGCGGCTGGCTTGTTTGGGAGGAAAACAGAACCACCCTATTGCTCTGATAGATGGCCCCAGTCAGGGAGAGGCCGGACAGTCAGGCAGTGGGCAGAGATCTCTTGGAGGTGTGTGAAGCCAGAGGCCATTACTGTGGGACTTGGGGGAGGGGCTGACGGGAAACCAAAGTTTGTCTGCACCACCCCGACTCCGCCCCATCCAAGCAGAGCACAGAAGCCCTCTTGGAGGCTGGCTTTCTCATTCGCTGCGAATAGGACTTTCCTAAGGAGGGACTGACGAGAATCCAAAGCTTATCTGCGCCTATACCAGAGGTGTGTGCGTCTGCAACCAATCTTGCGGGACTCACTGTGAATAGGACTTTTCTAAGATGAGACTGACGGAATCAAAGCTTGTCTGCGTCACCCGAGACTCTGCCCCATCCAAGTGGAGTACAGAAGCCCTCCTAGCTGAGACACTGCTGATCCTCACAGCCAATTGGCTTGGAGATCAACACTTTCCAGTGATACCAGTAACAAGCAAGGCTTAACAACAAGACTGCATACATAACCCACAAAGGGCTACATCAAGACAGTCCACCTCAGGTAACTGGGAAGGCTCAGGTAACTGGGAGGTGCTACTGGGCTCTACCAGAACACCTAACACACAAAACTATTCCATCAAATCAGGGAAGCAGCTAAAATGAAGAGAAGAGGCAGGACACAAAGGAAGGAGATGGAGGAAAGTAAAAGAATGGACTTTGAGTTCAAAACTACAGTTATAAGGTTTTTCAAAAATTTCCTAAAAAAGGCCGAAACCGGTTTGGCTCAGTGGATAGAGCGTTGGCCTGCAGACTGAAGGGTTTCAGGTTCGATTCCAGTCAAGGGCATGTACCTTAGTTGTGGGCACATCCCTGGTGGGGGGTGTGCAAGAGACAGCTGATCTATGAGTCTCTTTCATCGATGTTTCTAGCTCTATCCTTCTCTCTTTCTCTCTGTAAAAATTCAATAAAATGTATTTAAAAAAAATTTTTTTTCCTAAAAGAGGCCGATAAAATAAACGAGACCTATGAGGATATGAAAAGGGATCAACTAGAAATAAAAAGGTATCAACTAGAAATAAAGAAAACATTGAAATAAAAAATATTACACAGAGTTCAAAAAACAGACTGGCAGATCGCAAGAATCAAGACAAAGATTTGGAACACAAAGAGCAAGAAGACACTCCTCTGCAGAAGCAAGAAGATAAGAGAATCCAGAAAGTTGAAGGTAGTGTAAGAAACCTCTGGGACAATCTCAAGCGAACCAACATCAGAATTATGGGGGTCCCAGAAGAAGAGAGAGAGCAAGATACTGAAAGCATATTTGAAGAAATAGTGACAGAAAACTTCCTCCACAAGGGAAAAGATCAAGAGGAGAAGAAAGGAACAGAGGAGAACTATATAATAACCAAAAAATAATGAACAAAATGGCAATACTTGTCAATGATAACTTTAAATATGAATGGATTAAATGCTACAATAAAAAGACACAGGGTGGTCCTGGCCGGTTTGGCTCGGTGGATAGAGCATCGGCCTTTGGACTGAAGGGTCCCAGGTTCGATTCCGGTCAGGGACATGTGCCTTGATTGTGGGCACATCCCCAGTGGGGGACGTGTGGGAGGTGGCTGATCAATGTTTCTCTCTCTCTGTTGTTTCTAACTCTCTGTCCCTTTCCTTTTCTCTCTGTAGAAAATCAATAATATATATTTCTATTTAAAAAAAAAAAAAAAAGATAGGGTGGCTCTGTGGATTTGAAAACATGATCCATTTATAAGATTAATTAAAAAAAAAACATGACCCATCTATCAAGAGAGACTTCTAATTGAAAGACACATGCAGACTGAAAGTGAAGGGATGAAAAAAGATATTTAATGTGAATAGAAATGAAAAGAAAGCTGGCATAGGAATACTCATATCAGACAAAATAGACTTTAAAACAAAAATGTTTAAAAAAGATAAGGAGATAGCAATTATAAAGGGGCGAATCCAAGAAGAGGACATAACAATTTTAAATATTTACACAACTAACATAGGAGCACCTAACTTTATAAAGCAATTGTTAATGGGCATAGAGGGAGAAATCCAGAGTAATACAGTAATAGTTGGGGATTTTAATATCTCACACCAGTGGATAGATCATCCATACAGAAAATTAATAAGGAAACTATGGCCTTCACTATCACATTATACCGGATTAACTTAATAGACACTTATAGAATATTTCATTTAAAAACTGCAGAATAGCCGAAACCAGTTTGGCTCAGTGGATAGAGCGTCAGCCTGTGGACTGAAGGGTTCCAGGTTCGATTCCAGTCAAGGTCATGTACTACCTTGGTTGCGGGCACATCCCCAGTAGGGGGTGTGCAGGAGGCAGCTGATTGATGATTCTCTCTTATCGATGTTTGTAACTCTCTATCCCTCTCTCTTCCTCTCTCTGTAAAAAAATCAATAAAATATATATATAAAAAAGTAGATACTATTACAATATTAAAAAAAATAAAATAAAAAAATAAAAACTGCCGAAACCGGTTTGGCTCAATGGATAGAGCGTCGGCTTGGGGACTGAAAGGTCCCGGGTTTAATTCCGGTCAAGGGCATGTACCTTGGTTGCGGGCATACTATCCCCAGTAGGGGGTGTGCAAGAGGCAGCTGATCGATGACTCTCTCTCATCGATGTTTCTAACTCTTATCTCTCTCCCTTCCTCTCTGTACAAAAATCAATAAAATATATTTAAAAAAAAATAATAACAAAAAATAAAAACTGCAGAATATATATATTTTTCAAATGCACATGGAACATTTTCTAACATAAACCACATGTTAGGCCACAAAACAAGTTTCAGTAAATTCAAGAAGATTGAAATCATATCAAGCATCTTTTCCAACCACAGTGGTATGAAACTAGAAATCAACCACAGGAAGAAAACTGGAAAAAACACAAGTACATGGTGACTATAAATAACCTGTTACTAAACTACCAATGAATCAAAGAGGAAATCAAAGGAAAAAAAGGGGGGAGGAATAAATAAAGTTGTTTACTATTGGGGGGTAAAAGAACAACAGGGGAATATGCTTTAAGTTTTAGCCAAAAAGAAAAAAGAGCAAGAAGCTAACATATCTGTGTGTGTGCCCTAACCAGTTTGGCTCAGTGGATAGAGCTTCAACCTGAGAATTAAAAGGTCCCAGGTTCAATTCCGGTCAAGGGCATGTACCTTGGTTGTGGGCACATCCCCAGTAGGGGGTGTGCAGGAGGCAGCTGATAGATGTCTCTCTCTCATTGGTTTCTAACTCTCTATCCCTCTCTCTTCCTCTCTGTAAAATATCAATAAAATATGGACAAGGTAAATTAATTAAAAATTTTTGTACATTGTCAAATCTAATCTTAATGCAATAAAAAAGAGAAGAAAATGACATTTAGCCAAACAGACAAATTTTAGCCATGTTAAATATTTCTAAAATTAAAAGTTTAGAAATATTTAATACTTGGGTTAGGGAGGAAGTCTAAAAAACACGACAAGAATGTAATTAAGTTATGAATTTATGACAAAAATTATATGTGTTAACATATTTTTGCTTTCAGTTCTTTCTACAACTTCAACAGGCGGCATTGGAGGTCTTTGCAGAGAATAACACTCTCAGTCAACTGCAGCTGGGACAACTAGCCTCTATGGAGAGTTCTGTTTTTGATGACATGATTAACCTGTTAGAGCGTTTAAAACATGACATGTTGACCCGTCAAGTAGACCATGTTTTTAGAGAAGTTAAAGATGCTGCAAAGTTGTATAGAAAAGAAAGGTAAGTCCTCCATACTTTATCAGTCAGCTCTCAACTCCAGTTTGGTAAAAGTTAAAAGATGATATATACCGTCAGATTTCCAAGATATCTAAATAGTACAGAGGTAGGCCTTTTGCACACCAAGCTTAGTTAACTGTTTCTGTCTAAAATATATTCATTCTTATTTACTTATTTTTATTGATTTCAGAGAGAAAGAGAGAGGGATAGAAACATCAATGATGACAAAGAATCATTAATCGGCTGCCTCCTGCATGCCCCACACTGGGATTGAGCCCGCAACCCGGGCATGTGCCCTGACTGAGATTCGAACTGTGACCTCCTAGTTCAAAAGTCAATGCTCAACCACTGAGCTACTCTGGCTGGGCTAAAATATATTCATTCTTAATCAGAATCAACTGACCATAATTTAACCTTCAGATGTGTCCGTAAATACAGACAGCTGATGTATGCTATGGGTTGAATGGCCTAGCCTGTCACCCATTTTCAAAGTAAGGGGCTGCTATAATGCTCTGTGCATGCTTGTATTGTCCAGTTCATTCTCCTGCCATCACTCCCTGTGGACACCTGTTACCTCCACCAGACTGTGCTCCTTGACAGCAGCAATACCTTTTTGTTTTAGCATAGTCTCAACCAACGTGGAAGTGTTAGTTCCTGTTTTGCTAAAAACTAGAGCATAAAATTAGCTGTTATCTTAAATGCTAATATGTTTTACATTTTAACTGTCTTAAAATTATTTCAATAAGTCCTATTGGGATTTAAAAAAATTTATCTTTATTAAATAAAGAATATTTAATTGAGAGCTAAAGTATAAATATAGGTATATTTATTTTTCTGAGAGTTTTAAATGCTGTACATCTTATTTAAAACTAGTGGCCTTGCCGAAACCGGTTTGGCTCAGTGGTAGAGCGTAGGTCTGCGGACTGAAAGGTCCCAGGTTCGATTCCGGTCAAGGGCATGTACACTGGTTGTGGGCACATCCCAGGTAGGGGGTATGCAAGAGGCAGCTGGTCGATGTTTCTCTTTCATCGACGTTTCTAGCTCTCTCTCTCCCTTCCTCTGTAAAAAAATCAATCAATAAAAAATATATTTAAAACTAGTGGCCTTGTGCATGAATTTGTGCACACTGAAAGGAAATTAATTAGAAGAAATATTTTAATATCGCTATTTGCCCTTTCTCAATAATAGAAGTGTCAACCAAATTCACTGTCGACAATGCAAGATCGAAACACGTGTGTGCAATTGGCGCCAGCAAGAGCTTTATATGTATCACATATGCACGAGTCAACTTAGCCTTTTGTGTGTGTGTGTGTATGTGTTTGTGTATATAGAATAAACTTGCTTAATTAGCCGGGACCGGTTTGGCTCAGTGGTAGAGCGTCGGCCTGCGGACTGAAAGGTCCCGGGTTCGATTCCGGTCAAGGGCATGTACCGTGGCTGCGGGCACATCCCCAGTAGGGGGTGTGCAAGAGGCAGCTAATCGATGATTCTCTCTCATCGACATTTCTAACTCTCTATCCCTCTCTCCTCTCTGTGAAAAATCAATAAAATATATATATAAAAAAACAAAAAAACAAAAAAAAAACTTGCTTAATTAGACCTGCTTTCTGATTTAGCTAAACTTTTTCCAGCCCAGTGAAGCACCCCAATTTCTCTTTCAGGTATTTGTTAGCAACACAGCAGTAAATATCAACATGAAGCAAATTATTACTGTAGATCACGCAGGGAGGACAAAGGGTGAAATATTTAACTGCAGCAGTGTTTGACTATATTCTGTGCAGTGAGAAAACCCAAAGTCATTTTCAAAGTCCCCCATTTCCAACTTCTTTTCAGTCAGGACAGGTTTATAAGCTTCCTAAATCTCCATTTTCTGGTAATGAAAAGAAAATAAGATTCTACTGAGTCTCCTATCTACCTACTTCGGTGAGGATCAAATGAAATGAGGCTTGGCAAAATGCTTCACAGACATTTGGTTAAAGTGTAAATGTTTGCACCTGGCTGTAAAGCATGTCATGTTCCTGGGCTGAAGAAATTCATAGGAGACTAGTCGCTAGGGAGAGGAATCCAGGTGTTGCTACATGATGTCATTGCCTGGGGCCCCTAGCCACCGTTTCTGGGCTGGGCTGGGCTGTGGGCCACATTTTTGCACCATGGGGTCTCAGCAGCATCGGCTACTTTGGCGGGCTGTCACTCCAGGATGGTGATGGGGCCTGTGCCCACTTGGGGGGAAGCAGAGTGTTGCTTTGTGGGCGACATACACAGTGCCGTTTCTTTTTAAGTGGCCAGTGCACATCACAGCAACTCCTGCGCTGAGCGTCTGCCCATTGGTGGTCAGTGCACATCATAGTGACCGGGCAGACAGTTGGATGTTTAGCATATTAGCCTTTAAAAAAAAAAAAAAAAAAATATATATATATATATATATATATATATATATATGCCTCAGGACAGGCATCCTCAAATTAAAATTTGTTAAATCTTTAAAAACACACAGTGATAAAAATGTTTATGGTAAAAGTTAACGTGCTACAGGCAGTGCTGTTCTCATTTTCGCAGGTGGTTGTCCTTGCCCTCTCAGTCTGAGCAGGCAGTCATGTCCCTGTCCAGCTCGGCCTGCCCCCTCCTGCTTACATTACGAGACCGTTTACTTCAGTTGGAACAGCAGCTTTGCTTCTCTTTATTTAAAACTTTCTGGCAAATGCTCGTCGAGAAGCTGGATATACACATCTACCAAGAAGTAAGTAAGGAGTAGACTATTTTGGGGCTATGATGATGATGGCAACTGTGATATGAATTATTCTTTGTTTCAGATCATTCTTGCTAATCACTTCAATGAAGGAGGAGCAGCTCAGTTGCAGTTTGATATGACTCGGAATCTTTTCCCTTTGTTCTCCCACTATTGCAAGAGACCAGAAAATTACTTTAAACAGTAAGCTCAGTTTTTAACAATTGGTTTTGATGTATCAAATCCTGAGAGGAGGTTAATTCCTTTTTTAACAACATTAGGGTTCCAATGATGTTAAATGTATGTAGCATCAATTAAAGATTTTTAAATGCTCATTGTGTATCAGAATAATACAGGGACAAAAGTAGGTTTATAGTTGTACATGTAGAAAATAATACAGTAATACGAATACAAGAATAAAATCTCTGGTTCACATACTCACAACTGTGAACCTACTTTTTGTCTACCCTACATCTGACCCATGACCCCAAAAAGTTCACTAGAACTGGAGATAAATTATATGTTGGGCTTTCTTTTCTAGCATTTGCTTTAATACTCTGATTTGCTTATTACTGGAGAAATAAATAGAAAATGAAAACAAGCCGAAACCGGTTTGGCTCAATGGATAGATCGTTGGCTTGGGGACTGAAAGGTCCCGGGTTCGATTCTGGTTAAGGGCATGTACCTTGGTTGCGGGCATATCCCCAGTAGGGGGCAGCTGATCGATGACTCTCTCTCATCGATGTTTCTAACTCTCTATCTCTCTCCCTTCTTCTCTGTACAAAATCAATAAAATATATTAAAAAAAAAAAGAAAAAGAAAAGAAAATGAAAACAAGGGCAGTTCTGCCTTACTTGATAAATATAAGAAATTAAAAATATGTTTAGTATCTAATAACAGGCCAGGCTTGAAAAAAATTCTTCTTAAACATTTGACATTAATTTTGGTTCTAAGTATATAATTAAAGGAAGAATTCTTAGAAGTATTTTTAGAAATTATTGAGGTAAAATTTGAATTGTTTGGCTCTTTCTGAGATTATATATTTTTTTATAAAATGAAATTATTTTTGCTCATTTCAGTCAGCTTTCTACTTCTGTTTTTTCTTTTGTTTTAGTGGTCTATCTACTGCTTTCATGTCATCTCTTAATTTTCTCTTTTCCCATATCCTAATCTTCCTAGAATCTTAGCTACATTTAATAGAATGTTAATATCACATATTGTATTTTGGGATGTAATGGATACTGTTGAAAACAGTGATGCTATTACTTTATAGTAACCTGATGAAATATAAACGCTGCACACATACATAGTCTTAATATGTTAAAAGAACCAAATAATAAATCCATACATGGTTTTTACTGAGGGCACATGGCTAGCAGGGTAGGAAAGCACTTTCGTTTCTCAAAATGAAATGGTTATAGAATAATGTGGATGATAAAGATAATGGAGATCTCATTTCCTTCCTGCTTTCTTAAACAGTGTAAAAGAAGCCTGTATTATTTTGAATTTGAACATTGGTTCTGCACTGCTTCTGAAAGATGTCCTGCAGTCAGCTTCTGAGCAGCCTCCTGCCACAGCAGCATTAAATGAAATTGGAATTTACAAACTCGCTCCGCAAGATGTTGAGATTCTACTTAATTTGAGGACAAACTGGCCTAACACTGGAAAATAATGCATTTTCCCCTCCTTCCCCATTTTTGAACAAAGAGGAAGCCAGTTGTTTAAGTTAAATGATGAAGTTCCAAATTCATGAATCTGGATAACTGAAAACTTTATGGAATCATTTATTATCTTTGACTTACAGTGTTATTAAAATGCTGACCATATTTCCTGAACCCTTCTGCTCCTAAGAAAAGAAAAACAGAAAACTCAGAAGCCATGGAAACTCGGAGTAATTCCATTTACAGATATACATGCTGAATATGTGGTAAATAAAATACAAGTGCAGACATAATAAATTATAACCAAATTTCAATTTCCTATGTTATGGATAATCAAACACAGCAAATTTTAAAAAATTCACTTTAGAACGCATGTTTGTAATTGAGGTTCCTGTATCTAGTTTGGAAATTCACTGTATTTCCTATAAGAAAACACATTGATAGTGACTAAATTAGGATTGTTCTCATTTAGCACAAATGTCCTTCCATTTAAAAATACTTCCTTGTTTTGGTCCACATGTCTGTGGGCGACCTTTTCTTTTGGATGAAACATTTCAGGCCAGAGCACTGTATTTTAATCTTCCCAGGGGCAGGGCATGTAATTAAACAATTTTTGTTTAATACTTATGTAACTAATGATGAGATGAGGATATTAAACTTTCTAACTTTGCCTTGGCCTTGGACTATGTTAATGATTTCTTGTTAATAAATGCTCAGTGAGTAAAACTTTTAAACAAACTGAGTTAGACTAAACTAATCTTTCTACAGCTACCAAATTTTATTCCAATGGGCTGCTTTCTGATTTAGCATTTACTTAATAATTTTTATATTGTAATACTTCACATTTAAAATAGTCTGGCATGCAACCTATACTGTTGATAAACACTTAGTGATAAATAATTTAGAGGGAATATTTTGAGACAAATTCTACAACCCTCTCTGTATTTTACTTATTTATTTAGAAATATTTTATTGATTTGAGAGGAAGGGAGAGGGGGAGAGAGAGATAGAAACATCAATGATGAGAGAGAATCACTGATTGGCTGCCTCCTGCATGTCCCCCACTGGGGATCGAGCCTGCAACCCTAGTATGTGCCCTTGGCCGGAATCGAACCCGAGACCCCTCAGTCCGCAGGCTGATGCTCTATCCATTGAGCCTAACCAGCCAGGGCCTTCCCTGTATTTTATACTGAGAGTTTCCATCTAGTGTATTGCACTCAAAACTTTTCTGTTAGTCTTTCTAGCAAATGGGGCTTTTCTATCTCAGTCTTTGAGAATTGCAGGGGTTTCCCATTAAGAAAATGAAGCTGCCTCAGAAACTTCCTAACTCCAGTGTTTTCTCTCTCCCCTCTCCCCAAGCTCAGGGACTTTTCTGTCATCCCTCCCTGTCCTCACTTGCTAGTCAGCTGAAAGTTTCTATCAAAAGGTAGGAACCTGGCTCTGGTTGGCGTGGTGTGGCTCAGTTGGTTGGGTTTTGTCTATGCACTGAAAGGTTGCTGGGTTGATTCATGGTCAGGGCACATGCCTGGGTTACAGGCTCCATCCCTGGAAAGAGAGGGTGCAGGGAGCAGCTGATCAATGGTTCACTCTCATCATTTATGTTTCTCTCTCCCTTTCCCTTCCTCTCTCTAAAAATCAATTTAAAAATTAAAAATAACAAAGTTAGGAACCTGTTTTAAAATATATTAATTGTACTTCAAAACCATATTCTTTAAATATTACTCATTAGAAAATGAACTTACACTTCGTCCTTGAATTTATCCAAAGTTATTCCATTTCCATCATCTTTTAAATCTTCATCTTCAGTTGACAGACCCAGGTTCTCTAGGGCTGTAAAAGAATCAGAAGGGAAATTTACAAAGCGAATCATTTTCAGCTAGAGAAAATTAAGGAATGACTACTATTACCTCAATTTGCATTAGACACTGACCTCTTTTGTACTGCACAAATGATATGCTGCCTTTACGTCCAGAGTCCATCATCTCGAACATAGACACAATGTTAGAGTGATCCATGAAGAAAGGGAAAGCCACACCTGTTATTTTAGCAATTCTCAGTCGTTCTAATAGAGATATTAAATACTCTCTTGGTTTATCTGTAAAGAAAAAAAAAAAAGTTCAATTCTGGTTGAGTGTCCTTCAGTGCACCAAAAGGTCACTGGTTCCATGGGGTCGGGGTAACATCGGGGACACCTGATCCTTGTGAGACATAGGGGTCAGGCACATACCTAGGTTGTGGGGGTTGGAGCCCATGTTAAAATTATGGAGGCAATCAATGTTTCTGACGTGGATGTTTTTCACCCTTTCTCCTCTCATCAATAAGTAAAAATGTTAAAGAATGCATTCCTTTGTACTTTTTCTATTTTTATTTGTTGCAGTTTCTATTGTTAAATTAAAACAACTAAAGTGCACTTAATGATCCTAAACATGATCATATTGGCTGGGTGGGGCAAAGTTGGAATGTCTGGTATTTCCATTTCCTTAAATGGGGATGTGGGTAATTTTGACATTTTTGGACACTTCTTGTGGAGAGAGGCTGGCAAGTTACAATTTTGCATTTGGGTTAGAAGGACTTCAACATAACTCTCACCTTAATATAATTTTGAAATCACTGCACAAAAATTAAGAAATGTTTCAAGTTTTTTTTTTAAAGGGGTCAGAAGCGTAAAAATGCCAGGAAAAGAGTTCTCGAAAACACTGTTCCATCTTGCCCCAGCAATTGTGTAGCTCTCTTACCAGGTGAACAACTCTTTGAGGTCGAGGTAACATTGGGAACACCTGATCCTTGCGAGACATAGGGGCAATTCATTTATTGATTCTTCCCCACGTTTCCCGGAGAGCGGTGCTATTACCCCATTTCCCAGAAGAGGAGACTGAGGTTCAGAAGGCTGTTGCCCCATCTCATTAGTAATGACCGGTGAGCCCTCCACCTGGCCGGGTCCCAGGGCATCCTGGCTGGTGGTGGGCACAGAGGGGCCGGTCATTAAGCATTTGTCTAGCCAAGACCAGTTTGGCTCAGGGGATAGAGTGTGGGCCTGCGGACTGAGGGGTCCCAGGTTCGATTCTGGTCAAGGGCATGTACCTGGGTTACGGGCATATCCCCAGTGGGGAGTGTACAGGGGGCAGCTGATCAATGTTTCTCATCAGTGTTTCTATCCCTCTCTCTCCCTTCCTCTCTGTAAAAAATAAAATATATTTAAAAAAAAAAGTATTTGTCTAATTCAGTGGTCAGCAAACTCATTAGTCAGCAGAGCCAAATATCAACAGTACAACAGTATTCTTTTGAGAAAGAAGTTTTTTAAACTTAAAACTATGTAGGTAGGTACATTGTCATTAACTTAATTAGGGTACTCCTAAGCTGGCCTTTGCTAAAAACTCAAGAGGCCGAAGAGCCGCGTGTGGCTCCTCTCGAGCCGCAGTTTGCGGGCCAGTGGCCTCATTGATGGCCACAGCCTAAACCGGCAGCCGAAGAGCTAGGATAACGGAGGCAGATAACGGTGGGGGCAGTAGGCGGTGGGTGGGATGGAGCTGGAGGAAGGGCTGCCTGCGGGGGTGGGAAGGTGAGACCGAAAGCCGAGCGGTAGGCAAGACCCTTACTTGGCTGGTAAAAGAGCAGGTGACTAGTGAGGAGGTTCAGCAACTCCATAATCCGATATTTCTCCAAATATTTCCTGGCCTGCTGCTCCCGGCTGTTGCTCTCCATCCCTCCGCGTTAGGCCGTTGCTAGGCGACGAAGCGGCTGGTGGGCTCCTCCTCTTCCGCCCGAGAGCCCGGCGTGGGCTGGGACCTCAGTGGAAGCTCGGCTCTGCTCCGGAGGGGAGGCCTGGGGAGCGTGGGGGGCGGGGTCGGGGGGCTTCCTGAGGGAGACTGTCTGGTGCTGGGCCCCTGGCAGGCAGACCCCCGCCCCCCCTCATCCTAATAGGGGCTGACGGCTGGGCTTGATGGTCTTTTCCTTGTGCTTGTGAAGCAGGTTAGTCAGAAGCTAGGAAAATTCCTTGGCAAGTGGAATGGGGAAACTGAGACAGATAGCAATTTACAGCCAGATACAGAAGGCCCCCTCCCCTGGAGAGAGAACTTCTGGGCCTCAGTTGTATTTCAGCTCCAGCCCCAGGACAGCAGTAACCTGGACAAGTTATACCTGGCCTGACTTCAGGAGTGGCTGTGCGGACCAAAGACGCCCTGCCCCACCGAGCTGGAGACCAGCACCCCGGAAGGACCCAGCTGGAAAGCTGAGGAATATTCGATTGAGATCCTCCCCTACAGTCTCCACCCTTAAAGCTTTCAGGGGGAGGACCCAGAAAGCTCTCCCACCCCGGAGGGTGCCTGTGCCTTTCCCCTCCCCTTCACCACTCACAGGCATGCATCTCCTAAACTCTCAGGGACCCCCACAAGGCCTGCAATCAGGGCAGCGATGGGCAGCAGCACTTCCCCCCGGAAACCCCTCTCTGACTTCTTAGTGAGCCCACCCGAGGCGCATTTGCCCAGTCCTTTCTTATTGTACTCTCCCCAGCTTTAATGAACGTCCTCTTAAAAAAAATCACCTGGACTTGTGAACGTTTTCCTGCACCAGTGTTTCCCAAACTTCTCTCATGATGAGAGTCACCTGGTGGAGTTGTTAAACTACAGATTCCTGAATCCCAATTAAGAAGGCTAAACTAGAATTTTGGGGGACATATAGGTAAAATTGTATCAATTTTTGGGAACATATAGGTAAAACTGTATCAATTTTTACCTATATGTCCCCAAAAATTCTAGTTTAGCCTTCTTAGTTGGGATTCAGGAATCTGTAGTTTAGCAACTCCACCAGGTGACTCTCATCATGAGAGAAGTTTGGGAAACACTGTCCTACACGATATCAAGAACTCACACACTGCTGGCTGGCCCGAGGTCGCCTTTCCGGTAACACTTGTGGAGCCACTGACAGGAGGAACTAGTCACAGAAGGAACGTGTGTAATTCCGGAGGTGCCCTGAGCATCTGGGAGACGCTCTGTCTTCAGAGTCTGGAGGTGTTCTGTGGAAGGAAGGAGCTCGTTCTCTCAACTGTCTTGAAAACTGTGTGCCCCAATCTGTACCTCGGCTTAGGTTTGTAAGGAGAACATTTCAGAAGAATATTAGGAGAGTGCTTTGTAAACTTCCAGCAGCAGAATCCTTTACAGAAAGCATAAGGAGCCCTGGCCGGTGTGGCTCAGCTGATTGAGTATTACCCCTTGCCCCCAAAGGTCGCTGTTTTCATTTCCAGTCAGGGCACATACCCAGGTTGCAGGTTTGGTCCTGGGGTGTGTACAGGAGGTAACCGATTGACGTTCCTCTCTCTCCCTCCCTCTCTCCCTTCCTCTCTCTGTAACATGAGTGCAAACATTATATATATATATATATATATATATATATATATATATATATATATATATATATTATTTTTTTAAAATATATTTTATTGATTTTTTACAGAGCGGAAGGGAGAGAGATAGAGAGCTAGAAACGTCGACGAGAGAGAAACATCGACCAGCTGCCTCTTGCACACCCCTTACCGGGGATGTGCCCGCAACCAATGTACATGCCCTTGACAGGAATCGAACCTGGGACCTTTCAGTCCGCAGACCGACGCTCTACCACTGAGCCAAACCGGCTTCGGCTGCAAACATATTTTTAAGAAAGAAAGAAATCGTAAGTGCCATCCCCACATGGAGAGCAGGTGGAAGAGAGCACTACGCTGGGTTCACAGGTACTTCAGCTGTGCCTCCTCACAGGGCCATGGCGGCAGCCTGAGTGGTCCTGGCGCCAGCATTAACTGGAGGCTGGGAGCCGTGACAGAACCGAGCTGACAAAGCCGACGCATTGCTCCAGGGCCTGAGGACCCGAGGGGCTCTGGGGAGAACTGAAAAAACGATGGATGTGGGCTGTTGCCCCTCCACGTGCTTTGGTCCATCCTTTGGGGACTTGCTTTATGTTCCCTGAAAGCGAAGCACAAACAGCAAACCTGTACAAAGTGTCCCCCTTTCAATCACGACCGCCTACATGCTGGACCCTCAAAGGGCAGACGAGATATGTGTGATCGCTTAGGAACACGACTGTGGCTCAGCACAGCGGAAGCCAGGCCGAGGCAGGGGGACTAAAATGGAGAGGGACCCCTGCAGAGGGGTCGTGGCTGCAGAAAGCAGCAGAGGACGACCTGAGCCACAGCAGACCCAAGGGGACTGGCTGGTCATGGTGTCCTGTGTCTGAGTGGCTTAGGAGAAGCAAAGTCAAACACGTAAGGAACGGTCCTCAAGGGAGAGGAGGCTGGCGATCTGGAGACAGCGATCTGGAGACAGCGGTTGCTGCTCCGTGTTGCAGGCTCAAGGCCTGTGGTCTTCTCCTTGAGAACTTCCAGGACTTCCTCTCCGGGAGGTATACTCGGTCCTGAATCAGCAGCCCTGACCTTTGAACCTCACATGACACAGAAATTGAAACAATCAAATTCATTCTGCCTACAAAGTCAGAGCCAGGAGAGCACATGGGACCCTGCTGACATCTCCCCACGTCGCTGGTAGTTTCCATTCCTACAAGCCTGGGTCCCTTTGTCTGCTCCACACTCCCTTTCACCACATCCCGCAGGCAGCCAGGCCCCCAAATCTCCATTTCCTCTGGACATCATGCTGAAGAGAAGTGTCCAGATGCCACCTAGTGGAGCCAGCTCTTTGCTGCTGAAGCCATCGCTTAAGCCAGTTCGGGCTTAATAAGTCCTTACAACACTTCTCCCTCCTCCAACTCTTTGCTCTCCATCTGGAAGGTCATCCAGATGGCTCTCCAGAAGGATGTCTGGACAGTAGTTCTGCTGTTCGGTCTAATTAGCATATTAGCTCTTTATATATAAGATGTCAACTCAATAAAATAAATAAAAAAGTATTATAAAAACTTTTAAAGAAAGGATTTTATTCACTTCTATGTTACTGTCTCCTACTAAAAAACAATGACATTTGTCCTTCAATCTGCTAAACTTAGCTAGAAAATTCATATTCATATCTTTTAAAAAAATTTGATTTTTTACAGAGAGGAAGGGAGAGAGATAGAGAGCCTGAAACGTCGATGAGAAAGAAACAACAACCAGCTGCCTCTTGCACAACCCCACTGGGGATGTGCCCTCAACCAAGGTACATGCCCTTGACCAAAATCGAACCTGGGACCCTTCAGTCCTCAGACTGACGCTCTACCACTGAGCCAAACCGGTTTCGGCCATATCTTTTTTTTTTTTTTTTATAGCATATGTTAACATGATATAGGAAGTGGGATGTAAAAATAAATTTAATAGGTATAATTAAATAACTTCACACATATGTAGAATCTTGGAAAAATGCATGTTAAATGTGGACACATGAACATTCCGTATACACCAGTGAACTCAATAGAGGATATGTTTTTACTGATCTCTGGTAACCACCTTGTTTTCTGTGAATCTTCAAATACCCATTTCCAAATCTTCCAGCTCCTGGAGAAGGGATTTCTCTTTTTGAATTTTCTCCCAACTGATTTTTCCCCCCCAGCTGTTTTCTAGTTGCTGCTTATTCTCTCAGTTGTTCCTTGCTTTCTGTTTCTTAAGTTCTGGATTTTCTTTTTTTGTCCTACTTCAGCGTGTCCAGAAGTTGGCTGTGAGACAGTATTTTGTGTGGAGCTCCGTGGGGCAGGAGTAGGTGCCAGATCTAGACTCTTGTCACTTTTTGCTTCCTGCTTTGCGTCTTTCTTAGCTTCATGTTTCCTTTGATTTTTTATGGGCTGTTTTGGATAATGGCTCATTTCCCAGTTGTGGCTTCATATTCTGCGGTGGCTCCTTCTCATACAGCCAGGAATTGGTGACTGGTATATCTCTTTTTAAAATATATTTTATTGATTTTTTTACAGAGAGGAAGAGAGAGGGCTAGAAAGTTAGAAACATCGATGAGAGAGAATCGCCGATCAGCTGCCTCTTGCACACCCTCTACTGGGGATGAGCTTGCAACCAAGGTACATGCCCTTAACTAGAATCAAACCTGGGACCTTTCAGTCTGCAGGCTGACGCTCTATCCACTGAGCCAAACCAATTTTGGCTGGTTTCTCTCTTAAAGCTGGGGGTCTGTAAGCTGGTGCAGCGTTAGGTTCTTCACTGGATACGTCACTTGGAACTACTTGGAAAGTGACTGTTTTTGCTGGAAGTAGTCCATCTAAAAATGGCTGCCAAGAAGCCTGCCATAATTCCACATTGGATGGCACACAGACTTTGCAAGATGGAGTCAGTATGATGCCAAGTCTGTACCCATGATTAACGTGTAACCTGGGAGCACACGTAGCTGTTAAAACATGCTCATCATCTGGGCACCAAGCAGAAAATATAGACTCAGAGGCCACCGGTTTAGAAATGTTTGTGGTTTCTAACATCCCACACTTCCATGTGTCCACTCAGATTTCCACACCTGGTGAGTTCTAATATATGTCCAAGAGGGCCTCGGTAGGCTGCGTGATGAGGACCAGTTCCAAAGTCAGACACAGGATCACATTTGAAGTTGAAAATTGTCTCTTTGGCAGGCATAAAACCATAAGCAGCACAAAAACTCAGCAGACTTAGAATTCCAAACTCCATCATAAATGGGCTATTTTTGGTATTTGCACTACAGTACTTTCTCCATTTTTTTTGTTTTTTAAAAAAATATATTTTATTGATTTTTGTACAGAGAGGAAGGAAGATAGTTAGA